CCATGCTCCAAAGACTGCATCACCAATTCATCCATTTATGCAGGAGGACATTAGCAATCGTGACTCTTTCCTTCAGCTGCAGCTGTGCTGTTTTCTCCTTCATACCTTTATCTGAAGACTGCTCTGTCTTCATGGGCTCCATTTCCTCCCCTTTCACACTCCCCCAACTCCCTCCAACCTGACTTCTGACCTGGTCACCATGGAAACAGCTCCCGTTAAGATCCCCAGTGACGGCCATGCCTCAAAACCAACCAAAGTCCCTCATCCCTTCTCGCATCTCTCAACCACATCCAGCTCTTAGCCTCTTCTTCCTTCTGAAGGCGCTCCCTTACTTCTTTTTTTTATTATTTTTCTTGAGACAGGGTCTCACTCTGTCGCCCAGACTGGAGTTCAGTGGTGCAATCTCAGCTCACTGCAAACTCTGCCTCCTGTGTTCAAGCTATTTTCATGCCTCAGCCTACCAAGTGGCTGGGGCTGCAGATATGCACCACCATACCAGGTTAATTTTTTGTATTTTTGGTAGATATGGGATTTTGCCATGTTGGCCAGATGGTCTTGAACTCCTAGCCTCAGGTGATCCACCCGCCTTGGCCTCCCACGGTGCTGGGATTACAGGCGTGAGCCACCACACCCGGCCACTACCTTGCTTCCTTACTTCTTGACTGAACTCTTCTGGTTTTTTTTTTTTTTTTTAATGTATAAAATGAGTCTGGGAACGGTGGCTCACACCTGTAATCCCAGCACCTTGGGAGGCAGAGGGAAGCAGATCACCCGAGGTCAGGAGTTAGAGACCAGTCTGGCCAACATGGGGAAACCCCATCTCTCCTAAAAATACAAAACTTAGCTAGGCATGGTGGTGCATGCCTACAGTTCCAGCTACTCAAGAGGCTGAGGCAGAAAAGCTTGAATCTGAGAGGTGGAAGTTGCAGTAAGTCAAGATAGTGCCACTGCACTCCAGCCTGGGTGACGAAGTGAGACTGTATCAAAAAACAAAAAAACAGAAAAATAAATAAAACGTATAAAACGTAAGCCAGGCACAGTGGCTCATGCCTATAATCCCAGAACTTTGGGAGGCTGAGTTGGGAGGGGCACTTAAAGCTAAGAGTTCAAAAAACCAGGCTGGGCAATATGGCAAAACCCTATCTCTACAAAAATTAAAAAAATTAGGTACTCTGACGCACACCTGTGGTCTTGGTCCCAGCTATTTGGGAGACTGAAGGTGGAGGCTGCAGGGGGCTGTGATGGTGGCACTGCACTACAGCCTGGGCAACAGAGTGAGACCCTGTATTAAAAAGAATAGTAATAATAAAGGCCGAGCGCAGTGGCCAAGGCCTGTAATTCTAGCACTTTGGGAGGTTGAGGCAGGTGGATCACTTGACGTTGAGGAGTTCAAGATGCCTGGCCAACATGGTGAAACCCTGTCTCTACTAAAAATATAAAAATTAGCCGGGTGTGGGGGCAAGTGCCTGTAATCCCAGCTACTCAGGAGGCTGAGACAGGAGAATCGCTTGAACCTGGAAGGTGGAGGTTGCAGTGAGCCAAGATCATGTTCCACTGCACTCCAGGACAGGAGACAAGAGAAACGCTGTCTAAAAAAAAAAAAAAAAAAAAAGTATAAAATGTAGAGGCTACTGGTGTGAGCCACATAAGCGATCCGCCCACCTCAACCTCCCAAAATGCTAGGATTACAGGCATGAGCCACCCTGCTCGGCCCCCAGTGTGTATTTTTAATGGGCTATTTTGGGTGATTTTCAAATAAGCATATTTTAAAGCAGATTTTTTTTTCCCTATGGTCATATGGGGAAAAATTAGTCTTGCTGTTGCCCAGGCTGGTCTCGAACTCCTGGTTTCAAGTGGTCCTCCAACCTAGGCCTCCCAAAGTGCTAGGGCTACTGGTGTGAGCTACTGCGCTCAGCCTTCTGGTTCCTTCCATATCTCAGGGGACTCCTTCTGTGTTTCTTTTCAGGTTTATCCTCCAACCAGGCTAGCACATGCTAGATTTCTTCCCAACTTTTTCTCAGTCTTCCTTATTTTCTCTTTCTAGCTCTTACTAGACCTAGAAGTGTGAGCCACAGATCCTTTTCGGGGGACTCATGAAGTCAATACTATTTTCACAGTACTAAATGTGACCTGTCTTTTTTGCTGTGTTGACACATTGGGGCTGTGGACACTAAAGCGATGGGGTGGACTGCTGGTGTCTAGTATGAATCAGGGCATGGGTACCAAACTGTGTTATCACTGCATCTCCCCACTCATGCACTTACAGGAAAAAAAGCCAGCTGCACTCAAGACTGTACTTGATGAATTAGTAAAAACAAATATTAACTGTATTAAACTTTGACTCTTGAGTATGTCTTTTTCCACATAGATATTAGTTATTCTAGCACCGTTTACTGAAGACTATTGTATTTCTCCATTGAGTTAACTTGGCATCTTAGTGGAAAATCAATTGACCATATAATTATGAGTCTATTTCTGGACTCAGTTTTGTTCCATTGATCTGTCTTTACTTATGCTAAAACCATACTGATTTGATTGCTATAGCTTTATACACAGTAAGTTTAAAATCAGGTTGCGTGATGCATATGCACAGCCAAACACCTAGGTCAGCTCCCTTTCTTTTATTTTTATTTTTATTTTTTTTGAGACAGCTTGCTCTCGCTGCCCAGGCTGGAGTGCAGGGGTACCAGGCTGTAGTGCAGGGGTGTGATTTGGGCTCACTGTAACCTCTGCCTCCCAGGTTCAAGCGACTGTCCTGCCTCAGCCTCCTGAGTAGCTGGGACTATAGGTGCGTGCCACCACCATGCCTAATTTTTGTAGTTTTAGTAGACAGGTTTTCGCCATGTTGGCCAGGCTGGTCTTGAACTCCTGGGCTCAAGTGATCTCAAGTGGTACTTGGCCTTCTAAAGTGCTGGGATTACATGTGTGAGTCACTGTGCCTGGCCCCCCACTTTTTTTTAAAAAAAGAAAGATTTTGCTCTGTTGCCCAGGAAGGAATCACGATTCAATATAGCCTCAAACTCCACTCCTAGGCTCAAGCCATCCCCCTGCCTCAGCCTCCCAAGTAGCTGAGACTACAGGTGTGCACCACCACACCTGGCTAATTTCTTTTATCTTTAGCAGAGGCAAAGTTTCACTATGTTGCCCAGGCTGATCTTAACTGAGCTCAAGTGATCCATCCGTCTTGGCCTCCGTAAGTGCTGGGATTACAGGTGTGAACCACCGCGCCTGAACAGTGTTTTTTTTTTTTTTTTTTTTTTTTTTTGTGAGACAGTCTCACTCTGTTGCCCAGGCTGGAGTGCAGTGGCACAATCTTGGCTCACTGCAACCTTCACCTCCTGGGTTCAAGCGATTCTCATGCCTCAGCCTCCTGAGTAGCTGAGATTACAGGCATGAGCCACCACACCTTGCTAAGTTTTTTTATTTTTATTTTTTGAGATGGAGTCTTGCTCTGTTGCCCATGTTGGAGTGCAGTGGCAGAATCTCAGCTGACTGCAACCTCCGCGTCCGTTTCAAGCGATTCTCCCGCCTCAGCCTTCTGAGTAGTTGGGATTACAGGTGCACATTACCACACCCAGCTAGTTTTTGTATTTTTGTAGAGATGGTGCTTCACTATTTGGCCAGGCTGGTCTCAAATTCCTCCTTTTAAGTGATCCGCCCCCCTCGACCTCACAAAACGCTGATTACAGGTATGAGCCATGCTGCTCGGCCCCCAGGGTGTATTTTTGGGTGATTTTCAAATACGTATGTTTTAAAGCAGACTTTTCCTATGGTCATATGGGGAAACATTAGTCTCCATTATCCTGTGCCACGAATAATACTTGCATGCTCTATTGAGCTATTCGTGAATAGTTAAAACTGTCTGGTGTATTTACAAGTTGTTTTCCCTTCTTCTGTGTTAGAGTTGTTAGAGTAAAGTTGAATGGTAGAAATGCAGACCCAGTTATCCATGCCTCGGAATCTAAGACATTTTTAGGATGGCACATCTCCAGTGTAATCTCATCTTCTGTTTTTCAGGATGATTCTGCATTCAACAACCGCTTTAGAGCTTGATAGTAAAACAGAAAATCACACACAAACAACCAGAAAACCACTAGCATTTATTTACTCAACTAATATTTATCGAGTCGAATATATACTAGGTCCTGTGCTAAATATCCTGCATATTGTTTATAGGTTAGGAATTTGTGGGGAAGAAAAAGCAGAATGAGAAGCTTTCTTCTCCTTGAAAATAATTATATTTTATAAATAATTGACGAAGAGATAATGCCTTTTTGGAAGAATTATTCTCCAGGGAGATATGCTTGAGCCAATCATTTAGCTTAAATAATCACTAAACATACACCTATACCTTAAAATTCATGAGCAAGGACCATAATAAAGTGATGTGTTGTATATAGTACAGCATTTCCATTTTCCCACCATATACAGAATCTGGGTCATTTTACTTGGTGCCATGGGCTAGGAACTCCTAGAGCTGGGAAACAATCTTGGTTTCCCAACAATCTATATCATGTAGGTAAAAACCGTAAAACACACCACAGTGCAGATGAATTCTAACACTACCAGCTCATTTTATGCTGCTATGGAAGTAGTGAATAAAAATTAAGTCCTATATTGGGTATCTGGCCTTTTATCAAGGCAACTGAGATCAACTATACAGAAATTTTCATATTTCCCTTCTCATCAGGCAAACAGACAGACAATGGAGCCAGTCCGGAGGCCCAGCTGAGAAAATGATACACAGGGAAGCTCCCTCCTTGGGCCCCAGCTGTCACCCTAGTACTGTGAAGACACTGTGAGGTAATGCTGGAAAGTCGTGCTGTTTTAATGTCTCATATATATTCCAAGCAACATGCATTAGCAAACAAACATCTAGGAATAGGGTTTTTTGGTGTCTTAAAAAAGATTTGTAAGACACTGTAACTAGGTCAAGACAGTTGCAGGTGGGCAAAAAGAAAAAAAAATTAAGAAAAAAAAGATTTTGTAAGACACAAAACTTTCCATTAAAAAGTTGTTTATTTAAAAATATCTTCTTCCAATTCTGATTCCACATCAAATTAAATCAAGGAGTGATGTTACAGCGATAACTCATCAAATTGATGAGTAAGGAGGATGGCAATGACTCCATTAGCTCATTAGTATACTCTAGTAAGTAGTGAAATACAAATTCAACTCATTCACTTCTTCACAAAAAGCAGACATAATTTGTATACTTCATATAAAAAAGCTAGTTTATAAACCCTGTCTTCATATTTCAGTTTAAGGTTAAGCTAATATAAAATGCCTTAAAAAGCATTTTTTTAAGTATCCAAACAAAGCTTTGGATTTTTTCTCCAAATTTCAAGGAAAACATGATTGAAGTTTCTTTACTGCTTGCAAATTGGTTAAGAGCTACCTGAGATTCCTTTGTGCTTCCACTTTTCCACCCTTTGAGTTTCCAATGATTAAAATATGTGGAAGACACAATTTAGCGCTAGAAATGCCACACAGATCTCAACGCTTAATAAAGAGTTTCTGGCCAGGTGCGGTGGCTCACACCTCTAATACCAGCACTTTGGAAGGGAAGGTGGGCGGATCACCTGAGGTCAAGAATTTGAGACTGGCCTGGCCAACATAGTGAAACCCTGTCTCTATTAAAAGAACCAGGTGTGGTGGTGGGTGCCTATAACACCAGCTACTCATGAGGCTGAAGCAGGGGGATCACTTGAACCTGGAATGGCAGAAGTTGCAGTGAGCCAAGATTGAGCCACTGTAGTCCAGCCTGGACGGCAGAGTGAGGCTGCATCTCAAGTTAAAAAACAAAACAAAACAAAACAGTTTCTGACAGGTTTTTTTATTTGGAGACAGGGTCTCCCTGTGTCACCCAGGCTGGGGTGCGGTAGCATGATCTCAGCTCACTGTAACCTCCACCTCCCAGGTTCAAGCAATTCTCCCCTCTCAGCCTCCCAAATAGCTGGGATGCATCACCACGCTTGGCTAATTTTTATATTTTTAGTAGAGACAGGGTTTCACCATGTTGGCCTGGCTGCTCTCGATCTCCTGACCTCAAGTGATCTGCCCACTTCGGCTTCTCAAAGTGCTGAAATTACAGGCATGAGCCACCACGGCTGGCCAGTTTTGGAAGTTTTTACAGAAAGTAAGCATTAAAGAATGACTTTCAGAAATGCATACATTCAAAGAAAACCTTTTAGTATTCTGAGCATTGAATACTTTGAGGAAGAAGTGGTTTCTTCCTTGGATTAAGAAGTCACTCTTTTCTCAACAGTTTCTTGATATGCAATAAACCTTCTCAAATTCATCTTCACATTGTCAAGAACACACAGCTGATCTGTGCTATAATTCCCTTTCCCTTCTTTGCGTATCTGAAACAACAACAAAAGAAAACACACACACACACAAAAACATTATGTATGATTTGGTAGATATTACTAATCCACTTCAATAAAGTATTTAATTTAGGATGTATTTTACCATTTCCTGAACCAAAGAGCTGCAAGAATTTGGAAAAAATGTTTTTACTTTCAAGGTAAATAGAACTTGGTAAGTAAAGAGTGAACTGAGAATGTGCACATTAAAAATGACAGCTACAAAGGTGACTGAATGGTAGACGTTAAGAATTATATAAGCTACAGAAAGGAGTTATGTAGGCTGGGTGTGGTGGCTCGCACCTATAATTCCAGCACTTCGGGAGGCAAAGATGGGTGGATCACAAGTTCAGGAGTTCAAGATCAGCCTGACCAACATAGTAAAACCTTGCCTCTACTAAATATACAAAAATTAGCTATAGTCCTAGCTACTCAGGAGGCTAAGGCAGGAGAATTGCTTGAACCCGGAAGGTGGAGGTTGCGGTGAGCCAAGATTGCGCCATTACACTCCAGTCTGGGTGACAGAGTGACGCTCTGTCTTTAAAAAAAAAAAAAAAAAAGACCTTTTCATCAGCCATCTCCACCTCAGGTGGGGCTGCCACCAAAATGCAGATTTTCGTGAAAACCCTTATGGGGAAGACCATCACTCTCGAGGTTGAACCCTTGAATACAATAGAAAATGTAAAGGCCAAGATCCAGGATAAGGAAGGAATTCCTCCTGATCAGCAAAGACTGATACTTGCTGGCAAGCAACTGGAAGACAGACGTACTTTGTCTGACTACAACATTCAAAAGGAGTCTACTCTTCATCTTGTGTTAAGACTGCATGGTGGTGCTAAGAAAAGGAAGAAGTCTCATACCACTCCCAAGAAGAATAACCACAAGAGAAAGAAGGTTAAGCTAGCTGTCCTGAAATATTACAAGGTGGATGAGAATGGCAAAATCAGTCACCTTCGTCAAGTGCCCTTCTGATGAATGTGGTACTGGAGTGTTTATGGCAAGCCACTTTGACAGATATTATTGTGGCAAATGTTGTCTGACTTACTGCTTTAACAAACCAGAAGACAAGTAACTGAGTTAAAAAAAGACATGAACTAAAAAAAAAAAAGGAGTTATGTAAACTATGAACTGGGAAAATAATCCCTAACCTCTAAAGGTCTGGTGCTGAGATTAATTTTTTCTATTTAGTATGCATTGCTATGGTAATAATATTTAATTGTTTTCCTTCTCTCAAAGGTATACAGCTCTAATGAAATTCCTTTGTTAGGCTGGGTGCAGTGACTCATGCCTGTAATTCCAGCAGTTTGGGAGGCCGAGGAGGGTGGATTGCTTGAGTTCAGGAGTTTGAGACCAGCCTGGGCAACACAGTGAGACTCTATCTCAAAAAGAAAAAAAAATTACTTTGTTAGCCAGAGGTTAATCTGTAGTGTTGGTGTTGTGGTTTTTTTGTTTGTTCTTGGAACATGGTATCACGCTGTCATCGAGGCCAGAGTCTCATGGTGTGGTCAGGGCTCACTGCAGCCCACCTCCCAGACTCTAGTGACCCTCCCACCTCAGTGACCATAGTAGCTAGGACTACAAGCGTGAACTACTATGCTGGGGTAATTTTTAAAAATTTTTAGTAGAGGCGGGATCTCACTATGTAGCCCAGGCTGGTCTTGATCTCCTGGACTCCAGCAATCCTATAGCCTTGGCCTTCCACATGCTGGGATTATACTGGCGAGTCACCATGCCCAGCACTGTTTTTGTTTATTTTTTTTGTTTTTAATAGAGATGGGTTGTTCTTTGTCACCTAGGCTGGAGTGCAGTGGTTCGATCAAAGCTCACTGCAGCCTCCAACTCCTGGGCTCAAGTCATCCTCCTGCTAAGCTTCCTGAGTAGCTGGGACGATGGGCATGAGCCACCACCTAATGGTTAACTCTAAAAAAAAATTTTTTTTTTTCTTTTGAGACAGAGTTTTGCTCTGTCACCAGGCACCAGGCTGGAGTATAGTGGCACAATCTCGGCTCACTGCAACCTCTGCCTCCCGGGTTCAAGCAATTCTCCTGCCTCAGCCTTCCAAGTAGCTGGGACTACAGGCACACACCACCATGCCCAGCTAATTTTTGTATTTTTAGTAGAGACGGGGTTTTACCATGTTGGACAGGATGGTCTCCATCTTTTGATCCGCCTGCCTCAGCCTCCCAAAGTGCTGGGATTACAGGCGTGAGCCACCACGCCTGGACTAAAAATTTTTTTGTAGAGACAAGTTCTGGTTGTGTTTCCCAGGCTGCTCTTGAAATCCTGGACTCAAGTGATCCTCCTGCCTGGGGCTCCCAAAGTGCTGGGATTACAGGCATGAGCCACTGCGCCTGGCCTGTGGTTTTTATATCAATTGTATGGTATGTGAATTTGATCTCACCTCTAGTCTAGAGCAGTGGCTCTCAGGTTTTAGTGTGCAAAAGCATCATCTGGAAGGCTTGTTAAAAAACAGACTGGTGGGCCCATACACAGAGTCTGTGACTCAGTAGGTCTGGAGTTGGAGCCAAGAATCTGCATTTTGAACAAGTTACCAGGCAGGGCTGATGCTGCTGATACAAGGAGGGCACTTTTGAGAAACACTGCTCAAGAGAAGTTCTTGATTGTTCATAAATGCATTTTGTATACACTGAACAGCCTTTAATACAAATTGTGGCTTCCTTTCACACACACAAAAAAAAGAGTTTCATATAAATAACTACAGGCTAGCCTCTGCCTAGTAAGAAATCTCATTAGAGCTTTATACCTTTGATAAAAGAAAAAGAAATGTTATTATGACAGCAATACATACTGAGTAGGAAAATCAATCAGAACACACACACCTTTCAGAGGTCAGGGGTTATTTTCCCAGTTCACCGTTTACCTAACCCCTTTCTAAGTACTTGCTTCTGCAGAATTTGAGGACTCTTAATTATTAATATATCAGCTTTCCTTGCAGCTGCAGGGAAATAGGAAATATTTTCTCCTTATCTTGCAGGCTCTTTATCCAGAAATTTAAAGGACTGTAACTTTTAAAATGTGGCCAGACGTGGTGACTCACACCTGTAATCCCAGCACTTCTGCCTGGCCTACACCTGTAATCCCAGCACTTCAGGAGGCTGAGGTGGGTGGACCACCTGAGGTCAGGTGTTTGAGACCAGCCTAGCCAACATGGTAAAATCTTGTCTCTACTAAAAATACAAAAATTAGCCAGGTGTGGTGGCACACACCTGTAATCTCTGCTACTCGGGAGGCTGAGGCAGAACAATCATTTGAACCTGGGAGGGAGAGGTTGCAGTGAGCCGAGATCGCACCACTGCACTTCAGCCTGGGCAACAGAGTGAGACTCTGTCTCAAAAAAAAAAAAAAAAAAACCCAAACCAAACCAAACCAAACCAAAACAAAAAAAACCAACAATGTGGATATCTTTTATGTACTGGTATGAAAATATCTCCACAAATAAAGTATAGGACTGTGACTTTATTATACTACCTTTTGGATTAAACACCACCCCCCCCCCCCCGCCAACACACACATACACATTTGAGACAGAGTCTTGCTCTGTTGCCCAGGCTGAGGAAAATAGTGTGATCACAGCTCAATGAAGCCTGGGCTCAAGTGATCCACCTGCTTCAGCCTCCCCAGTAGCTAGGACTATAAGTATGTACCACCACACTCAACTAATACTTTCATTTTTTGTAGCGATAGGGCCTTGCTATGCTGCCCAGGCCAGCCTCAAGTTCCTAGGTTCAAGTGATCCTCCTGCCTCAGCCTCCACCTCCTGAGTAGCTGGGACAACAGGTATATGCCACCATGCCTAGCTGTTATTAAATTTTAAAATGTAACACGCCAAAACATAAAAATATTCAAAACAAACCAATATTGATGGTCTTAAACCAACACTGACTTTAGATGGAAGAATGACATAAGGCATGTGCACAACATGTGCTACTATTTTTCTTTTCTTCTGGAAAAGAAAACTTTTTTTAAAATTTTTTATTCATTTATTTTTTAAATAAAATAGAGATGGGGTTTCACCATGTTGGCCAGGATGGTCTTGATCTCAACCTCGTGATTTGCCCACCTTGGACTCCCAAAGTGCTGGGATTATAGGCGTGAGCCACTGCACCCAGCCAAGAAACTTTTTTATGCATTAAAAAATTTTTCAGAAACTTTAAATTTCTAAATATACGATCATATTCACCTAAAATAAACTTATTATGTAGTTCTCTCCATGAAAACTGAATCCTATTTTAGGAGTTTGTTCAATAAAAGTAACATTGGAAAATATAAAAAGTGAGCAAATTTCTCATTAAAACCTCTATTCCTTCAACAAATATTTAGAGGCAAATGTTCAATCAAAAATCTAAAGATAAATATTTGTATTTCGCAAAATGACCAAGTTTAAAATTGTGATTGAGATAAGGGGAGAATGGTAAACTAATACATAGACACATAATCAGTCTGTTTTCAAAATTCCGGGTTGTGCTTTTACCCCTAAACCAAAAGAGCTTTTAAATCTATTTTTGACTCAGAGTTAGCTTCTGATAAACAATCAATAAAATCACTAAAGAAGGTAGGAGCTACATTCTTGAATACAGAATAGCCTGGAGTTTGCTCTTTTTTTCCACCAAAGGAAACTATCCATAACAATGAAATTAACATATAATGTATTACATGACATAGAATAAATGTAGGCCAGGCACTGTGGCTCATGCCTGTAATCCCAGCACTTTGGAAGGCCGAGGCGGGAGGATCACCTGAGGTTGGGAGTTTGAGACCAGCCTGGATGACATGGCAAAAACCCCAGTAAAAATACGAAAATTAGTTGGGTGATGTGGTGGATGCCTGTAATCTCAGCTACTCGGGAGGCTGAGGCACAAGAATTGCTTGAACCCAGGAAGCAGAGGTTGCAGGGAGCTGAGATCCTGCCACCGCACTCCAGCTTGGGCGACAGAGTGGGATCCTGTCTCAGATAAATAAATAAATGTAAAATGTGCATGAAAGCGCTTTGCAAAACACGGAGTATAATACTGATACATATGAAGCACTGTTAAAATTACTGAACTGTTAAAAAAGAACTTGTCAGATATCATTTTGGCTTCAGTTTAAGTGATTCAATAGTCACAATGCTGAGCTATGACTCAGTCAACAAGCATTTTACAAAGTACTGGGGATGCAGTGCTCCGTGTGGGGGTTTGTCATGCACATGCTTCTGAGTTGCATGGCAGTAACTACACATACCCTCGTCCCCACAGAATGTTCTGACTTATGCATTTATAAGTTAAATGGCTACAAACCTTCATTTTAAAAACCGGCTGGAATTCTTTCAGAGCGGATAATAATTTAATTTGAATTGAGGCTCTTTCAGCTTCTTTACCATCTGCAAAAACATCAAAGAGGGCATCCAAAGCTTCTCCTGCTACCACAAGGGAAGGATCTTTGGTGGTAACCTCAAGCAGAAAGCACCCAATATTCTGGAAACAAGAAAACACATTTACTATGACTAACGCCAGTCTCCAAAACGAGTACCAACTTTGAATGTGGCAATAACTTATGCATACTATTTTATATACAAATGCCAAGGAAAAATTAAAACTTTAAGAGATTAGACTTAAATACTTATAAACATATAAAGTATAATATAAGCAAGATAAATTAAACATGTTATAGTTTATATTCCTAAAGTGAATTAAGATCCATAAAAGATGTATGATTTTGGAAATCACTAAACTTCCCCCACTACCTCTCTCAAAAAATCTTGCTCCGTGATGTCAAAATGAATAGAAATCTTTTCTGTAACAACAACAACAACAACAACCGTCTTTTAAAAGCATAAGAAAAACACTTTGGGGCCAGTTGCAGTGGCTTACACCTGTAAGTCTAGCACTTTGTGAGGCCAAGGTGGGGAGGATTGCTTGAGCCTGGGAGTTTGAGACCAGCCTCAGCAATGTAGTGAGACCTCATCTCTAAAAAAACATAAAATAGGACTGATCTGAATCTAATCTAGTCTGTAGACCTAACTGTCATTCTGCAGGAAATACAAGGATAAAAGAACCAGTTTAACACCACAAGGAAGCAATCAGACAAATCTGGAAGGTTGGACACTATATAGGAGAACTAATCCAGGAGCTGAGAATAACCAGGTGGTGCCGGGCAAGAGTAAGAGAGATAGAAGACCCCACAGCAAGCACAACATGTGGGCTTCTGCAGTTTAAACAAGCTATCTGTAAACAGACACTTTTGAGGCAACTGTAAAATTGGGAATATGGACCAGGAATTAAACACATTAAGAAATAACTGTTGCCAGGCGCAGTGGCTCAGGCCTGTAATCCCAGCACTTTGGGAGGCTGAAGTGGGCTTGGGCCCAGAGTTTAAGTCCAGCCTGGGCAACACGGCAAAACTCTGTCTCTACTAAAAATAGAAGAAAAAAAAAACTAGCCAGATGTGGTAGTTGATGCCTGGAGTCCCAGCTACTCAGAGACTGAGGTGGGAGGATCACCTGAGCCCAGGGAGGTTGAAGCTGCAGTGAGCTGTGATCATACCACTGCACTCGAACCTGGGCAACAGAGAGAGACCCTGTCTCAAAGAAAGAAAATAAAAGAAAGAAATGACCGTTAATTGTGTAAGGCATGACCATGGCAGTTAATTAGGAAACTGTCTCTATTTCGAACCAATATGAATTTTGAACCAATAGGGCAAAATACCACAATGTCTTCAATATACTTTAACATACCCAGTAAAGAAACTATATGAAATACATATGATAGAATATTAGTGACTGTTAAATCAGCTTATGGGTACACAAAATTTATTGTACTTTCTACTTTTCTTCATGCTTGGAAGTAAAACTAAATAAAAACCATTTGTAAATATTCTATCTAAATAAATAAATAAATGTTCTATCTGAGAAAAACATCCTGTTCCACTAAAGCGGAGCTTGGAAACTATAGTCCCAAGGGAGGCTGTGATTACATTATACCTGCTCATTCATATGTGTGAACACATCCATGCCACACAGCCACACTCTCATTTACCTGTATATATAGCAAAACTCCTGCAATGATACAGAAGAAACAGCTAACAGTGGCTGCCTCTTCAGAAGCAAACTAGGGAACTGGAAGTTTAGGAGTGGAGGTGAATCTTTTCATTATATACACTTTTATACTTTTAAAAATGTTTTGTGCCCAGGCTTGGTGGCTCAAGTCTGTAATCCCAGCACTTTGGGAGCCTGAGGCAGGTGGATCACTTGAGGTCAGGAGTTCAGGACCAGCCTGGCCAACATGGCAAAACCCCATCTCTATTAAAAATACAAAAATTAGCCAGGTGTAGTAGTAGGCACCTGTAATCCCAGCCACTCAGGAGGCTGAGGCAGAAGAATTGCTTGAACCCAGAGATGAAGGTTGCAATGAGCTGAGATTGCACTATTGCACTCCAGCCTGGGTGAAAGAGTGAGACTCCGTCTTGGGGGAGAGGGGGACAAGCTATGCAAATATAATTTTTCCAAAGCAGATTCTTTAAAACATCAGTCATCACTGCAAAGTTCTTAGCAAGTTAAGAGGTACTTTATAATAATGAATTGATTATCCGTTAGTCAGTCATCAACACTTATTAGCACACCAAAGGGTAATTTTACTGTGACTATCCTTGTGATTACTAGTGATGCTGTACTCCTAACAGTGCAGTTGTGAGTCACTGTGCAAATATGCTGAGTGAATTCCTGGTATAGTGGCACTACCATGGTGGCTGCTTAAAATTTATGGAGTGATATTAGAATTAACTGTGTGGTATTTTTCAGAATGCATGTTTCCTGTGTGCAAGGAAAATGGTGTGGACTGTGCCTTCATCAGCAGGAGAATGTAACATGCATACATTGTATGCAACAGCAAAGGCAGAGGGTATCTTTAAAAATTCTGAATTTGCCCTTTCACAAAAGACAGGTTTATTTTTTTTTAAAAAAAAGTACCTCTGGAGTAATGTTAAATTGTAAAATGTGGCTCAAACTTTCAAGTACTTACTTAATACACATAATTAGATCAAGCCACAGGGTATATCCTAACAATATAACTGAACAAAGCAACTTGATATGATTTCTTCTCTTCATGTTCGCAGAAGTTTTAAAAAATCCTATACCAACAGTTCTTCTTCTCTCATTTCTAGTTATTTAACATGTTAGGTCAGAAGCAAATTGTTTTACCTTAAGAGTTTCAAGGGTACCATCTTCTTTGGCAAGGACGCTGCCAGTGATTCCTAAAATGCTAACGACATTCACTCTAACCCCGACGTTACTACTGTGAATGCCCCCTCTGCATAATGTCATCAGCTGATCAGGAGTCATGCACTGGAAAGAGAAGAGGAGAATATTTATAATGTTGATCTCAATCAATTCTATCAGCATGAAAAACAGGACTGACGGGAATCTCTTCTATAGGCGGCAGGATTTTAAGAGTGACAAAAACTCCTGGCAGGTAAGTTACTATTAATATGTATTCCAGTTCTCCCAGACAGAGCTGGTAATTCTGAACCAAGGTGAGCTCTGCTCATGTTGCCATCCTTACCTAACATAAAGGGGCTCCAGGTCCCATTCATTTCATTTGAAGACTTTCATTCTAGATTTACAGACTAAAGACATTCCAATTCTTTTTTAATATTAATAGTAAAAAAAAAAGGCTTTGAAAGTATAAATAGGATTATGTAGCTTTAAAAAAATTGGCTGAGTCTATACACAGTAAGAACTTACTTTGAGATGCTTGTATCATCATAAATTATTAAAGATTGTAAAAATCATTATATTACACAGTGTTTCTACCATGTAGTGGATAATTTTCAGTTTATGGCTGGGTACGGTGGCTCACACCTGTAACCTCAGCCACTTGGGAGTCTGAGGCACAAGAAATGCTTGAAGCCGGGAGGCAGAGGTTGCAGTGAGCTGAGATCGTGCCACTGCATTCCAGCCAGGGCAACAGAGTGAGACTCTATCTCCCATAAGCAGCAGCACAGCGTGGTGATGAAAGGCTTGGAATCTGGAACCAGACACCCTGGGCTCAAATCCTAGTTTCACTACTTACCACCCATGTGCGCCCCTATACTGGACTAATTTATTTTTATTTTTTTTTGTAGATATGAAGTTTCACAAAGTTGCCCAGTCTGGTCTTAAACTTTTGGGCTCAAGCAGTTCTCCCGCCTCGGGCTCCCAAAGTGTTGGGATTATCAGCATGAGCTACTGAACCTGGCCCTGAGAATAGCTTTGAGTAACTTTCCTTAACCACATTGATCCCATAAGCTGCTGCTTATTACATACCAGGGGAAAGCAACAAAATTACTTTGTATTCCTACAGGCCCTAGAGTATAAGGTTTTCTGGTCCATCCAATAGCCACATGGCAGGCTATGCATCCCATTACCATTTCCGTTTCTTAGAAACTGAGGGTCAAATTATGCTTTTCAAAAAAATTCTTAGTTTTGGAAAGCTGAGGCGAGAGGCTCGCTTGAGGCCAGGAGTTCAAGACCAGATTGGGCATCTCTTAAAAAATTAAAAATAAATAAAAGTACAAAAAAATTTTAAAAGCATTAAGAAAAAAATCACATAAAGAAATAAGAAGCAGAGTGGCACAGCGGAAGCATGCTGGGCCCATAACCCAGAGGTCGATGGATTGAAACCATCCTCTGCTATCAAAAAAAAAATAAAAAGAAAAAAGAAATATTTCTTCAGTGCTGCCTGGAAAAAAAAAATAGTGTTGTTGTTAGCAGTAACAAGAGCATTGCTATTTTGATACTATTAAGTACATTCTGTACGATAAAGCAAATAATTTTAATGTTACTACAAATTTTAATGTTACTACAGCAAATAATTTTAACGTCACTGTACAGCAAACAATTTTAATGTCACTACAAATTTTAATGTCTGTAAGAGAAAGCAAATGATAAAATTTTTGAAAAGTCTTTTTCTTCTTTTCTCTAATTTTTTAAATTATCTATTATTATTTTTTAAACCAGTCCAACTTAGCAGTAGGGGAGCTGTATACTAACTTTAGTGACACTAGTGTGAGTAACTTCTGATAACCCACTACCATCAGACCAGCTGCAAATAAGAATTTTAATGTCACTAACCTATCTTTTTGGGCACAATGCACCTTTCTGGGTACAAATGTGTCTCTTTTTGGGAGCACAAAAAGACACAAATAGAAAATAAAAAATTAAGTAAAAACATTGTACCATTTTTTATTTACACTGGAAATTATCAGGATGAACTTACTATTTTTGTCTCCTAATAAATGCTTATTTCTTAGCTATTTCCACTAAAAAGACCTAGAAGCAATGACAACATGGTGGGAACAAGCACTCCAAACTTCACTTTCCCCACTAAAGAAATCAGAGCTTCTTGGAAAAGTAACTGATTCCAGGCTTGGTTTTTTTTTTTGAGACGGAGTTTCACTCTTGTCGCCCAGGTTGGAGTCCAATGGTGTGATCTTGGCTCCCTGTGCAACCTCTGCCTCTGGCTTCAAGCGATTCTCCTGCCTCAGCCTCCCAAGTAGCTGGGATTACAGGTGCACGCCACCATGCCTGGCTAATTTTTTAATCTGCAGTAGAGACAGGGTTCCTCCATGTTGGTCAGGCTGGTCTTTAACTCCTGACCTCAGGTGATCCACCCACCTCGGCCTCCCAAAATTTTGAGATTATAGGTGTAAGCCTCTGTGCCCAGCCACATTCCATGTTTTAAGCAAGAAAATTACAAGTTGAACCTGGGACATCTTATGCCTGGAAGCATAAGATGTCTCTTGTCAAAGAGACACAGAAGCCAATTTGAAGGGACTCCTACAAAGATGGGACGATTTTGGCAGCAAAAAGCATGACTGTAATGGAATAAAATAAAAATTATAAAAAACCCTGAGTTCATAATGATACTAAAAAGAAAAAAAAATCACTGGTCACTTTTGGAGATTGCTAGGGCATCTGTTCTGCAAAAAAAAAAAAAAAGCGGGAGGGGACGGGGGAGAATTATACACTTAGTTCTTTTCTGTAAGATCTTTACTTCAAAGTTACTAAAATCACTGATGAGACTTTCTTATTTACAGAAAAATCACAGCTAATAAATTTTTAAAAAATGACAAATTTAGGATATCTCTATTCTGCAAGCCACGAATGACATAATGAAGCCAGGTAACCACAATCACTGTTGTAAAACCATTAAGTGAACCCACTAATTAATCTCAGCATTACTATTTTATGATATTATGTGATTTGTGATATAAATGTAGAAAAGACATACAGCACTATGAATTATTCTTGCCAAAGAATCTGAACCTGTCAAGATTACTTATGATAAATTAAAAAAATAATAATAATGTGGACCTGGATCTAATTAAGGCTCTAGACCTAGCTCCTGGCTCACAGAAAACACGGGAGACAGTGGCATGCTGAACGATGCCATCATGAAGGGTCAGCCCAATCTGTCAGTGAGGAAAACACTATGGAACAAAATGAGTTTCCTCAACAGGTAAGTGTATCGGAAAAGAGGGGTAGTGAGGGAAATGTTACAGATCAAGAGATTTAAGAATGTGTGAATACACTAGAATCACTAAATTGTACACTTTATCTATTTATTTATTTTTGAGACAGAATCTCGCTCTGTTGTCCAGGCTGGAGTGCAGTGGCGCCATCTCAGCTCACTGTAAGCTCCACCTCCAGGTTCAAACAATTCTCCCTGCCTCAGCCTCCCAACTAGCTGGAATCACAGGCACCTGCCACCACGCCCAGCTAACTTTTGTATTTTTAGTAGAGATGGGGTTTCACTATGTTGTCCAGGATGGTCTCAAATTCCTGATCTCAGGTAACCCATCCTCCTCGGCCCCCCAAAGTGCTGGGATTACAGGCGTGAGCCACTGAGCCAGCCATGTTAAAAGATACTACAGCAATCTGGGAAAACTGAACTCAGACTGCAACTGGGAAAACTGAATTCAGACTGCAAAAGGATAAGAAATATTTGTTAATTTGGAGGTCTGGGGTAATGATATTGGGGTTAAGATTTTTAAATTTTCTGTCAGACATGCATAGTAAACTACGTAATAAAATACTGATGGGTCAAATATGATTTCCTTTACAATACTCCAGGAAAAAAGAATAAGGACTCAGTGAGATGAATGAAACCATGTCACAGGAATGACAGGATGCTAATAACCTGCTGAGGATGGGCAATCGTGCATGCAGCCTCATAAAATTCTCTCTGCTTTGGGTATGGTAGTGCATGCCTGTAATAACCAGCGACTTTGAAGGCTGATGTGGGAGGATCGCTTGAACCCAGGAGACTAGCTTGGGCAGCACAGTAAGACCCCAACTCAGAAAACAAAAGAATAGAATTATCTCTGTTTTCAGGAATGTTTGAAAATGTCCTTAGTAAAAAGTAACAAAAGTGGTTAAGTACCTATGAGAGATGAAGTGCACATGGGTCACTATGGAGGGTCGGGAGGGCATGCTTGCAAAGTCTGTAATGAAACGTTGAAAAAAATAAAAACAAAAAAAGCTGGGCACAGTGGCTCATGCCTGTAATCCCAACACCTTGGGAGGCCAAGGTGGGTGGGTCATTTGAGGTCAAGCATTCAAGACCATCCTGGCCAACACATCAAAACCCCATCTCTACTAAAAATATAAAAATTAGCTAGGTGTGGTGGCGCACGCCTGTAATCCCATCTACTTGGGTGGCTGAGGCAAGAGAATCACTTGGGAGGCAGAGGTTGCAGTGAGTTGAGATTGTGCCAGTGTACTCCAGCCTGGGTGACATAGTAAGACTGTCTCCAAAAAAAAAAGTTAAACAAAAAGACCAATGATACTTATTTACAACATATCTATCAATTAAGTTGCATTGATTAAAAAGCACTTGTTTTGCTAGTAAGCCTATATATTAAAAAATTAAAAAAATTAAAACAGCTGTGTGTGTTGCTGATGGTGGGAAGCAGAAAGATACTACTTTTTATTTTAATCATTTGTTTTCTTTTTTACAAAGATCGCTCTTGTATTACTCTTGTCCAGAAATATGTATTTTAGTAGCTAAGTAATGAATTTTGTCTCTATAATACATAATCTTTACAAGTTTCATAAAAAAATTTTTAAAAATCTTACCTGGGAAATGTTCTTGGAGGCCATTGTTTGCAAAAGGGCCCTCAAAGCACTACTTATGGCTTCTAGAAAGTCAGCACGTTTAGCAAAATCTAAAACACAAAAATGAAACATAAAATTTGCATTTCTCCAAGATAGGCTATTTTGTAGAAGAAGAAAATGAAATAAAGCATGCTAAATGTTAGCAAATGCTATTAGTTTAAAAAACAACCCTCGATATTTAAGATAACATATTTAGTTAACAGCCCCCTATATACTCTATACCTAAGTCTGAAAGATAATCGAGGTTGAAATAATCACAGCAAGAAGTGTTCTACAGACGCTCCTTGACTTCCAGACACTGGGTTTTCATTTGACTCAAACTTTAGCACATAAGAAATCTGAGCTAGCTTTTGCAGACTGAATGCTGCCATTCATAGATCTCCATCACAGTGCTGGGGAGACCTCTGGTGGAGTCAGAATGCTTCCTTGCCAACCCAAGCCCACTGCCTAGCCATGAACTGTTGCTTGTGCAGAGCCAGGACATGAAGGCACCATGGTTTTCACCGACCAAACTTCCCCCTCCCACTCCTACTCCTTATTCTCACTTTTCTTACTGTCCCTTCTTCTCACACAGGACAAACAGAACAGCAGCAGTAAGCCATCATACTGGCACAGGCATGCTCAAAGGACGGTGAAGGTCACCCAGGAGCGTTACCTCCTTAACCCCTTTGATGGGAAGGAAGAGAGATTTGCTTGGTGTGGCAGACTCTGTTTTCTAAAAATGGCCACAGCAGTATTTTAAGTCCTGCATGATCTTCCAGAATGTTGCCACTTCCCATAACAATGTGAAATCTACTTCTCCTCTCCTTCAATCAGGGTGGGACTTTGTGATTTCCTCAACCAACAGAACACGAAGTGACAAAAGACAGTATGACTTCCAGCCCTGACTCACTGGTACGTGCTCTTTTTTCTCTCTAGACTTTTGCCCTGGGAACCCAGCCACCCTACTATGCGGAAGCCTACGTCACATGAAGAGGTTACCGTGGGTGTTCTTCCTGATGACCCCTGCACCAACTGCCAGACATATGAGTGAACATGATCCTGGCCCACACTGCAAGTTTTCCAGCAGAGGCCCTAGACTAGTGTTTCTCAGTCTCTGCACTACTGACATTTTAGACCAGATAATTCATCATTTTGTGTGTGCATGGGGGTCTCCTGGGCACTGCAGGATGTGAAGCAGCATCCCTGGCCTCTACCCTGTAGATACCAGTTGCAACTTCCAAGTTATAAAACCAAAAAACACCTCCAGTCATTACCAAATGTCCCCAGGTAGGAGGTGGGGGCGGTTAAGTGCCCATGGTTGAGAACCGCTGGCCTAGACATTGTGGAGTAGGAACAAACCATCTCCACTGTGCCCTGTCTAAATTCTTGACCTAAAGAAACTTTGAGAGATAATAAATGATTACTGTTGTTTTAAGTCACAGAGTTTTGGTGTAATTTGTTATGTAGCAATAGATACACTGACTTCCTGCCCCACAGTGCCTGGGACTTAATAGCCATTCCGATCCCCCGCTTTTAGGTTACCCGGGTGGAAGAGAGACAGCTTCTGTTCAATTTTAATCCTGGGTGATTGTATTTTTGCTCTTTCATTTTCAGATACATATTACGTACCAAAATAGGGGATTTCCTGTAGTGATCACTGAACAGGTAATAGGAGAGCTTTACACACTCAGCACTGGGATAGAGTCCTGCCTTTGACCGAAGTGACTCCTCCAGACTGCATTTTACATTTTAGTCTTGGGTCAAATGTTACCTCCTCACAGAGGCCTTTCCATACTAACTGGCCTAGTTTAACACCTTATATCATTCTGCTTTTATTTTTTTCTTCATAGCTGATATCACCTAAAGCATTTATTTATACTAGAATGCAAGTACATATTCATGAACATAGTGGCCTGGCCTATCTTGTTCACACCTGCATCCCTAGGATCTAGAACAGTGTAAGACTTAAAGTAAGTGTTCAATAAAATCAAGAATACAAATAAAAGAATGAATGACCTGGAAGAGGTTCCTTAACCTCTCAGCTTCCTCATGAGGACGATGAAGTAGTAAAGCCTGTTTCATAAAACATGGTATCTAACAGGCACTCAAAAGTTAGTGTGAAGCTGTTGGGTTGTTTTTCATAGGGTCTTGCTCTGTTAACCAGGCTGGAGTGCAGTGGCGTGATCTCGGCTCACTGCAGCCCGTACCTGTCAGGCTCAAGCAATCCTTCTGCATCAGCCACCTGAGTAGCTGGGACCACAGGAACATGCCACCATGTCCGGCTAATTTTTCTTGTATTTGTACAGACAGGGTCTCATCATACATCTAGGCTGCCCTCAAACTCTTGAGCTCAAGCACTCCACCTGCTTCAGCCTCCCAAAGTGCTAGGATTACATGTGTGCACCACCCTGTCCAGGCAATTTGTTGCTATTAAACTTAAAAAAGTTACCATACTGACTCTAAAATGTACATTTGATTAAAGCTCTAAGTAGAGCCCTATAAATTTATGAATTGCACACAAAAGAGGTGATTCAAAATGTCTTCACTCTCAACAACTTTGAACAGTATTTAAGAATTTGTAGGATGTCAGCCAGGTGAAGTGGCTCATGCCTGCAATCCCAGCACACTGGGAGGCTGAAGAGGGCAGATTGCGAGGTCAGGAGATCGAGACCATCCTGGCCAACATGGAAACCCTGTCTCTACTAAAAATACAAAAATTAGCTGGGCACAGTGGCATGTACCTATAGTCCCAGCCACTCTGGAGGATGAGGTACAAGAATCACTTGAACCTGGGAGGCAGAGGTTGCAGTGAGCTGACATCATGCCACTGTACTCCAGCCTGAAGACAAAGCAAGACTCCGTCTCAAAACAACAACAACAACAACAACAACGAAAAGAATTTGTAGAATATCTAAATGTAGGTTAATGTAACCCACAAGTAATTTTTATATTTAGGTGAATTTTTCAGACTTTTTGTTTTTCTGAGACAGTCTTGCTCTGTCTCCCAGGCTGCAGTATAGTGGCATGATCTTGGCTCACTGCAACCTCTGCCTCCTGGATTCAAATTATTTTCCTGCCTCAGCCTCCCACGTAGCTGGGATTACAGGCACGCACCTCCACGCCTGCCTAATTTTTGTATTTTTAGTAGAGATGGGGTTTCACCATATTGGCCAGGCTGGTCTTGAACTCCTGACTTCAGATGATCTGACCACCTTGGCCTTCCAAAGTGCTGGGATTACAGGTGTGCACCACCACGCCCCAGCCTGAATTTTCTTTCTTTTTTAATTGATTTTGAGATGGAGTCTTGCTCTGTTGCCCAGGCTGAAATGCAGTGGTGCAATCTTGGATCACTGCAACCTCTACCACCCAAGTTTAAGCAATTCTCCTGTCTCAGCCTCCCTAGTAGCTGGGCCTGAATTTTCAATATTCTGATACGGAATGGAAAATATATCCCAGAATGGGATACTACCATTTTAATTATAACTAAAAAAGAACGTTCTGATTCTTAAAATCTGGGAAAATGGAATCCTAAATGATTTTAGAACTCATGTAATGGAGCCGAATGACAAACTGACACAATATGAAATACAACACTTCTAAAAAATGCATTGATGTTTTGAAAACCAATAGCTTTAATGAAGGAGACAAAGATGTTACTGTTTTGAAAACAAGGACCAGATTGTACTAAACCATCCTCCTTTTATCTCTGATATCAGCCACAAACATAAATGTTGGTATGTACAGAGTATCACAAATGTTGTAACTACTGCATTCAGAACCACAGTTAGCATTAAAATTAAAACCAGTTAGATAGAGCTGTAGAATCTTCATACCTTTTTCAACCATAACACAAAACAGTAGAGATATTTAGTCCCATCCTCCCCACTAAATTCTTTTTTTTTTTTTTTTCTAAATTGAGACAGAGTCTTACTCTGTTACCCAGGCTGGAGTACAGTAGCATGATCACAGCTCATGGCAGCTTTGACCTCCTGGGCTCAAGCAATCCTTCCATTTTAGCTTCCCTGGGACCATAGGCACAAGCAAGCTATCGCTCCTGGGTAATTAAAATCTTTTTTTGGTGGAGACAGGATATCACTATGTTGCCCAGGCTGGTCTTGAACTCCTGGGCTCACATGATCCTCCCTATTCAGCTCCCAAAGTGCTGGGACTTCAAGTATAAGCCAGCCCCCACTAAATTCTCTTGTAGTAGTTCCCACCATCCATATAGAACCCATTACATTGAATAAATCTCAAATGCTTACAAGGACTGCACTAGAATATCATCTCCAAATATAAGCAATTATCCTTTATCAAATTCATTCTGATAAGAAAATATACTGTTATTCCAAAATAAATAACAATGACACTACTTTGAGTCATTTTGAGTCTCCATTTCTCCGAATGCCGTGCTAGGTGATATAAAGGCCATAGATGGGATGTGAGGATGGGTCCCAAGCAAGCTGGACAGCCCAGAGGCACTGTAACCATCCAAACAGGCAAGGTCAATTCAGACCACCAATCCCTGGAAGTCATTGAGCCCACATTGATAGGTGAATACATCTGCAAAATTACTGTTATGACAGTAGTATGTAGCAGGTGCTTTCTACAAAAATAACATCATGGCCCTCAGAATACACAAAAGCATTCTTAACCTAACAGCATGTCAGATTTCTGAATCTTTTAAAAAGAAAAAGAAGCCCAGGTGTGGTGGCTAATGCCTGTAATCCCAGCACTTTTGGAGGCCAAAGCGGGCGGATCACCTGAAGTTGGGAGTTCGAGAGCAGCCTGACCAACATGGAGAAACCCTGTCTGTACTAAAAATACAAAATTAGCATGCATTGTGGCACATGCCTGTAATCCCAGCTACTCAGGAGGTCGAGGCAGAAGAATTGCTTGAACCCGGGAGGCGGAGGTTGTGGTGAGCCGAGATTGTGTCACTGCACTCCAGCCTGGGCAACAAGAGCAAAACTCCTTGACAACAACAACAACAACAAAAGATGATGTCAAGAATAGAGATGAAATGGGAATTTATTTAGAATCAAAGTGCTGGGGCTGGGCACAGTGGCTCATGCCTGTAATTCCAGCACTTTGGGAGGCCGAGGTGGGCGGATCACGAGGTCAAGAGATCAAGACCATCCTGGCCAACATGGTGAAACCCCATCTCTACCAAAAATACAAAAAATTAGCCGGGCATGGTGACTCGCACCTGTAGTCCCAGCTACTCGGGAGGCTGAGGCAAGAGAACTGCTTGAACCCAGGAGACAGAGGTTGCAGTGAGCCAAGATTGCACCACTGCACCGTAGCCTGGCGACAGAGCGAGACTCGGTCTAAAAAAAAAAAAAAAAAATCAAAGTGATTAGTTATATTTTTCCACAATTCAGCAACTTTCCAGAACTCAGCTTGGGACAGTGAGAGTCCCACTCCCACCCCACAGGACATCTTGCTGGGTTGATGGGAGCCATAGTAAACTGTGAAAATCTGTTAGAATAACATGCATTAGACTTTGTACAGCTAGGTTGTTTTTTGTTTTTGTTTTTTTCCTCCAAGTGAAACCTGCAGCTAGGTCATTTAAAAGAATATTTAACTCTGGTATTTCTATAGCTCTTTGTGTACATATGATATTGATCTGTGTCAGAGACAGATCAGCTCCTACCATGCAAAGGTGTCTGAAGAAAGATACATGTTAGATGATGGCAAGGTGTACAATTGTGTAGATGGTATTTTACCATTTGCCTTACATACACACACAGGCATGCATACATGTACAGGCTCTCTTATATTTGGAGAATCTTTCTGGAAGGATACACAAGTAACTGGTTTAACAGTGACTTGACTCTGAGAAGAACTGGGTGTGGGACAAAGGAGGGAAGCTTTCCAGTTTCTATTCTCTAACAACTTTTTAATTCTGTACTACATACATACATTATTCAAATTTAAATGCTTACAACTAGGAGGAAAAGAACAGAGAATTACTCAAGTATTATTACTATTATTGAGACAGAGTTTTGTTCTTTTGTTTTTTAGTAGAGGTGGGTTTCACCATGTTGGTCAGGCTGGTCTTGAACTCCTGACCTCGTGATCCGCCCACCTCGGCCTCCCAAAGTGCTGGGATTACAGGCGTGAGCCACTGTGCTCGGCCCAGAGTTTTGTTCTTGTTGCCCAGGCTGGAGCGCAGTGGCGTGATCTCAGCTCACTGCAATCTCCGCCTCCTGGGTTCAAGTGATTCTCCTGCCTCAACCTCCTGAGTAGCTGGGATTACAGGCATCTGCCACCACATCCAGCTAATTTCTGTATTTTTAGTAGAGATAGGGTTTCACCATGTTGGCCAGGATGGTCTTAAACTCCTGATCTCAGGTGATCCACCCACCTCGGCCCCTCAAAGTGCTGGGACTACAGGTGTGAGCCACTGTGCCTGGCCGAGAATTACCCAAATAGCTTTTTTTTTTTTTTTTTTGGAGACGGAGTTTCGCTCTTGTTACCCAGGCTGGAGTGCAATGGCGCGATCTCGGCTCACCGTAACCTCCGCCTCCTGGGTTCAGGCAATTCTCCTGCTTCAGCCTCCTGAGTAGCTGGGATGACAGGCACACGCCACCATGCCCAGCTAATTTTTTGTATTTTTAGTAGAGACGGGGTTTCACCATGTTGACCAGGATGGTCTCGATCTCTTGACGTTGTGATCCACCCGCCTCTACCTCCCAAAATGTTGGGATTACAGGCTTGAGCCACCACGCCCGGCCTACCCAAATATCTTAATGAGGCCTTTATGACATTTATGATTCCGCCTTGATTGGCCTGACATAACTGGATGCAAACAATTTTAATAAAAAGAAAATGACAAGCTCAAGAACTGCTTGCATACTTCATTTTGACTCTGTACCCACTTGGCAACTATAAATACATGATTCTTTGGGTCTGGGAAAGGTTTCTGCAGGTTGGATGACAAACAATATACATTTACAAAATCCAAGTTCCTGACCCTTCCTGTTCCATCTGAGTAGTCTTTCACAATAAGGCCTAAATATTCACCTGGTTGAGAAAAAAGCAGCTGTGACAGATGCTGTGCAAGCGTCTGAAGGGCTGCAGCTCCTCCCAGGTGCTCCACATCCAGGAGGGCCACAAGACTCTGGAGACACAGGAGGGCTCTGCACTGGATAGTGTTCATTCTGGAAAGGAAGTAAAACAATTCCATCTGTTTCTCCAGAAAGGTGTCCATCAGAATTCAGTATTAACTTTTAGCCTAAGCTTCAAGTTCTGACTGGAATTATCTGTAAATACAAGGGGACCTATGGTAGTTAGCAAAGAATCACAAGGTGAACAGTTTTTTAGGTTTTCTAAAATTTATTATTATATTTACACAATTATATAATATTATTAGAAAAATAAAATAAATATAGAATTTATTAATTTTTTATAATAGTATTAAAATGTTATTATTTAAGCCCAGGCTGAAATGCAGTGGTGTGATCTCAGCTTACTGTCTCAACATCCTGAGCACAAGTGATCCTCCTTCCTCAGCCTCCTAATGAGCAGGATTACATGTGCATGCAACCACATCTGGCTAAGTTTTTTATTTTTTGTAGGGATGGGGTCTTGCTATGTTGCCTAGGCTGGTCTCGAACCCTTGGCCTCAAAGAATCCTCCTGCCTGGGTCTTCCAAAGTGCTAGAATTGTAAGGTGAACTGTTAATCTGCCTAACTGAACTGCTTGAGTATTCACAGCCTCCAATACACAACTAATTAATGAGTCATGAGGAATGTCTTTTAGAAAAATTTCTATGTAAGGTAGCATCCTTAAAATTATTATTTTTTTCAGATAGGGTATCATTCTGTTTTCCAGGCTGAAGTACAGTGTCACTACCATAGCTCACTAGAGCCTTACACTGCTGAGCTCAAGCGATTCTCACTTCAGCCTCCTGAGAAGCTAGGACTACAGCTGAGTGCCACAATGTCAGGCTAGTTTTTATATTTTTTTTTCTTTGTAGAGATGGGGTCTTGCTATGTTGCCCAGGCTGGCTTCAAACTCCTGGTCTCAAGTGATCCTCCCATCTTGGCCTACCAGAGTCTAGGGATTATAGGTATGAGCCCCCACACCCAGCCTAAAATTATTTTTAATTGTGAAATGTGGCATATGTACTGTTAAGTATACAACATAGAGAGTTTAACAAATAGTCTATGAAGCCAACACCCATGAACTTGGAAAAGAAAGAAACATGCCGGACCCTGAAAGCCCCTGTATCCCTTCCTCATAACATCCTACCTCCCCGACACCTAGAGATGACCATTATATAGACTTTTATGGTAAACGTTTCCTTGCCCGTTTTTTTTTTTAAAATAGGTTTATCACCTCGGTATGCATCCCGGAACCAAACAGTTCAATGTTGCCTGCTTCTCAGCTGAATCACAGTGTGCATATTCTTTTATGCCTTGCTTTGTTGGTTCAACAATGTAAGTTTCAACCAAGTTATGAGTAGTTCTAATTCAGATCCCTTTTACTGTTGCATGTATTGAAGTGCATGATTTTGTCAAAATTTATTTACCGTTCTAATTCTGATGGACAACTTTGCTTACAGGTTGGGGCAACTGTGACACACACTGCTATGAACACTCTCATATACATGTATCCTAGGGCATGTGGGCACCTATTTTTCTAATGTATTTACCTAGGAACAAAACTTCTGGGTCCCTGGGGGAGTCAGCACCTTCTATTTAATGACCCATCATTTCATAAGATAAAATAATGACAAATGTTTTTGAAAAGAGTAAAGTTCTTACTTTCTAATCAAAGGTTTCCAAGTAGGGTTCCTACAACATATGTCAACTGCAATGCTGTTTGGAAAGGCTGTTTTCTCAAAAACCTAGATTTAAAACAGGCAGTAAAGCAAAGGTTAAAGAGTAGTCATTTAACGTATGATTCTCTTATATAACTCCAATACACTACTCCTAAGTGAAATGGTTAGGCTTCATATAGAATGACCTTTTCACCTACTTCCAGTACTGTTAGGTCAGCTTTGTCTCAGATCTTACCACCACCTACAACCTGGAAGTGTGAGATTACTTCTTTTGTATACAGAATGAATAGCTTGCTTAAGCCTTTTCCATGCTCCATGGTAAACCTAGAATGAAAACGGATTACCTTCTTTGGGATGAGGTAGTTGGTGAGAGCCGTGTGAACCTCATGGGAGAGGCAGAGGGGAGAGAACAGCTGTCCCCCACATTCATTGAAGGAATTCTCCATAAATGCATCACTTTCATCACTGCTAGAAAGCTCTTCCCATTCGTCATCGGAGGGATCTGGGAAGAGGGCAAACCACGCAGAACTGGAATAGTTAAGAAAATCTCCAAAGGAGTTTCCCTCTTGGCCCAGGGGGAAAACGTCTAAATGTAAATTGTTAACAAACCTTCATTGCAGCACATGTTGACGATAATTTCCAGAGCAGTCTGTTGGGCTGTCAGCAATGCCATAGTCTCTCTCAGTTCCTTGTCAGTGGCCTAAAAAAAATAAAATAAAAAAAGCAACTGACCAACTCTCAATGGTTGGGAAAATGTTTTTGAGTAATTTCCTTAGTGAAAGTCTACTAGATTTTTGCGCTTGGAATAAAGCACACAGGGAATGGGGAAGGTGAAAGAAAAGTCATGAAGTGCCAGAAGTACAAACTAGCATTATAATTCCTCTTCGTACAGTGGAGCATGCCTCCATTAACTGGGTTCCCATCTATCTGCACGGCTATTCTCCAAGCGTCCCTTGGTTAGCTGAAGAAAACAGACAAACATTCAGGAATTCTAAATGGAATTCACCCTGAAACCTAATCTACTGTGTCAAGAAGTAGCTGGGCACACTAAGATTTAAACAAGAGTTCATTCCAGACACCAGGCACTTACATTGAACCTGCTTTTAGATGCTTAGCTTAGATGTCTTCTTGGAATGGCCGCATTAACAAACACTACTAACAAGCCCTTACATGACCTGCAGAACTTGCTATAGAGCAGACAAGACAGACTTGCTTTCTGGCTTTCTTTAAAGACTACAATAAAGCATTTCTCTAAGACTGAAGAAAAAAGGAAGCTTGTTTTTCCTCTGAAAATACATAACATCAACTTAAACTTAAAATCATCCACTAACATTTCTTAAAATGGGTAATATAAATTTATATGACCTCAATTCTCAAATTGTCTATGAAAAGTGAAATAATCAAATGGATATTTCAAAACAGTACATGAGCTAAAAATAATATATATTTTACTGTTCGAAGATTTCCAAATTTCAGTTTTCAACTGTCATTTTTTTCCCTTTTAGAGACAGAGTCTCATTCTGTTGCCCAGGCTGGAATGCAGTGGCAAGTTCATAGCTCAATGCAGCCTCTAATTCCTGGGTTCAAGCAATCTTCTTGTCGAAGCCTATGAGAAGTTAGGACTATGTGCAGGACACCATGCTCAGCTAATTTTTTATTTTTTGTAGAGACGAGGTCTTGCTGTGTTGCCCAGGCTGGTCTCAAGCTCCTGGCTTCAACTAATCCTTCCATGTCCACCTCCCATAAGTGCTGGGATTACAGGTGTGAGTCTGGCCTCAACTGTCTTTTCAATGGCTGCACAACATTCCATTAAATGAATTCACTATAATTTACTAAGCATTCCACTAGTGTGGAATCTTTCAGATTTCCTGCATATGTTATTTCCTCAGATTTACTAGGTCAAAGGTTTAAAATATATTTATAGATCCTAGGACATATTCCTATTTTCCTTTCTAGAATGTTCATACCCATTTACAATCCTACCAACAAATTTTTCTTTTTGAGACAGGGTCTCACTCTGTCGCCCAGACTGGAGTGCAGTGGCGCCATCATAGCTCAACTGCAGCCTCAACCTCCTAGGCTCAAGGGATCCTCACAACTCAGCCTCCTGAATAAATGGGACTATAGCCACACTCTACCATGCCCAGCTAACTTTTTAAAGCCAGTCTAATTTACCTGCTAAGGGCTGGGCGTGGTGGCTCATGCCTGTAATCCCAGCACTTTGGGAGGCCAAGGCAGGCAGATCACCTGAGGCCAAGAGTTCAAGAGTAGCCTGGCCAACATGGCAAAACCGTCTCTACTAAAAATACAAAAAAAAATTAGCCAGGTATGGTGGCACATGCCTGAAATTCCAGCTACTTGTGAGGCTAAGGCAGGAGAATCACTTGAACCTGGAAGGCAGAGGTTGCAGCGAGCCGAGATTGTACCACTGCACTCCAGTCTGGGCAACAGTGAGACTATGTCTCAAAAAAAAAAAAAAAAAAAAAAAAATTATCTGCTAATTTTTGTGGGTTTTTAATTTAATTTAGAGATGGAGGTCTCAGTATGTTGCCCAGGCTGACCTTGAAATCCTGACCTCAAGTAACCCTCCCACTGCAGCCTTCTGAAGTGCTGAGACTTCAGGCGTGACCACCATGCCTATCCCTGGTGACTTTTCTGTGCAACAAATTAACTAACTTTGAAACATGTTCTTTAAAGAAAAAAAAAAAAAAAAAAAAAGCTAATTGTTAATTTAATAGATGTAGTTCAGGAATCCCTAAATTTGAATTCCACTTATTGGTAGCAAGAATGTATATAAAAATCATTTCCATTTGCTTTGGGTGTGTGCTAATTCAACTAAATACATACTTACTAGTGAAGACTTAAAGCTAAACAATAGATGTTGCTGCTGGGCTCTCGTCCACTTAAAATATATGAAAATCTGGCTTATTCTTTTAAATTTATTTATTATTTTTTTGGAGACAGTCTTGCTCCATCACCCAGGCTGGAGTGCAGTGGCGTGATCTCAGTTCACTGTGATCTCCATCTCCTGGGTTCAAGCAATTCTGGTGCCTCAGTCTCCTGAGTAGCTAGGACTACAGGCATGAGCTACCATGTCTGGCTAATTTTTTGTATTTTTAGAAGAGAACAGGGCTTCACCATATTGGCCAGGCAGGTCTTTAACTCCCAGCCTCAATGATCCACCCACCCTGGCCTCCCCAAGTGCTGGGATTACAGGGGTAAGCAACCATGCCTGGATGAAGCTCTGGCTTAAAAGGAGCTCTGAAACTAAGCTCCACCTCTTTATGTAACTCTCTTCCTCAGAGCTTTTCTCTGCTTCTTACTGCTATCAAGCTGACATAAAGAACCAATTTAGACGAAATGTTATGACATCTGAGATTTGCTTCAAAATAATCAGTAGAGAAAAGACAGTGTGAGGGGAACTAGATGAAGTCAAACAGACCAGGATTTGAAAATTGGTAACTGTGGAAGCTGGACATGGGGTACTCTACTTTTGCATGTGCCCCCCAAAAAATTCAACTTGGGTTGAACTGCTCTTCCTTCATGTCTTTTTTATTATACCTTCTTAAGTTAAATGATGCAGTTTTGATTCTAAAAGAGTGCTGCAGAAGACACTGAGTAGTATGGAAGACCACAGCGGAAAATAACTTGTGTTCATGTCACCCTACCGGCACTTAAACACCAGCTGGCTCACTGGCTAGCATGTTGATCATTCAGTCTAGTCAGTTATGTCAAGACCACTTTATTTTCCATTTTTCCTCCTCTACCCTTGCTAGCCCCCACCATCCACCACTACAGTCTTAAGGAAGAGTTTATTTCTATTTTTAGTTTTACTGTTTTGAGAAAGATTCTCACTTAGTCGGCCAGGCTGGAGTGCAGTGGTGTGATCCTGACTCACTACAACCTCCACCTCCTACGCTTAAGCAATTCTTGTGCCTCAGGCTTCCAAACTGAGTAGCTGGGACTACAGGCTTGTGCCACCACACCTAGCTCATTTTTGTATTTTTGGTAGAGATGGGGTTTCACCATGTTGGTCAGGCTGGTCTTGAACTCCTGGACTCAAGAATTTGCCCACCTCAGCCTCCCAAAGTGCTGGGATTACAGGCATAAGCCACCACACCTGGCCAAAAGACTTAAAAAAGCAAGTTTTTACTATAAGAAAACACTGCATTTTTATAAGCACCAAAATAAAAGTAAAACAAAAATAAATCTCTATATAACAGTTAAGTATCAATAGTTTTTTTAATCAACAGTGGCACTTCCATCTAAACCTTGTTAGACTTGGGTCTCACCCTCAACCTTACTCCCTATAGAAGCCCCTTGGAAGGAAGAATGGAGGTAGGGACAATCACACAAGAATGCCGTTCTCCCATTCCCAGCCAGAGATTCAGATCCTTCAAACACAATGTACCTTTATCAGTTAGGATCAACAGAAACCTGAGTAGGATGGTGCCCACAGCTGAAAATGACCCCACAAGCCCTGATTTATCACATCCCCTCTTCCCACATACAGGTACGCAACAGGTTGGGTACTATGGTATACGCCTATAATCCCAGCCCTTTGGGAGGCTGAGTTGGGAGGATCACTTGAGACCAGGCAGCATAGTGAAATCCTGTCTCAAAATAAACCAATAATAATAAAATAAAAAGATCTAGGCTGGGGGTGGTGGCTCATGCCTGTAATCCCAGCCTGACCAACATGGAAAAATCCCATCTCTACTAAGAATACAAAATTAGCTGGATATGGTGGCAAGCGTCTGTAATCCCAGATACCTGGGAGGCCGAGGAAGGAGAATCACTTGAACCTGGGAGGCAGAGGTTGCAGTGAGCTGAGATCACGCCATTGCACTACTACACTCCAGCCTGGACAACAAGAGTAAAACTCTGTCTTAAAAAAAGAACTGTGAGCAACTCAAGGACAGGGTGGCACCCACAGGTTACTCATGTCACGGGGGAAAGTGGTTCTATCCACATTTTCATTTCTTTGAAACACTATCAGTTTATGCTTCCCAACATCGTGAACACAGGTAAGCATCAGAGGATGTAATTGCCTCCTCCCAACTCAGCCTTCGTCATCCTTCAGCAGCCTCCTGACTGGTCCTCCTGCCAGGCCCCTTGTGCTCTCCCTCCCTCCAGCTGCCTGAGTGATCTCTCCAAACACTAACTTGCTTTTTCTTACCTCCTTTATGACAGCTCAGGTGTTCTGTCCAAAAGGCTCTCTTTGGCAGTCTCTTCCTTGGCAGTCTCTCCCATCGGGGCTGAGTTACAAGGGCCTACTCTACAGATACCACTTTCTTAGAAATCTGTGCAGAGCCATAGCACTGTTCTTAGCACAGGCCTTAAAGCCTTGGTTTTATGTGTCTGTCTTCCCAAAACAGGAAGTTCCTGAAGGCTGGAAATTATGTCTTAATTATCTTTCTATCACCAGTGTCTAGCACAGTGCCTGGCATACATTAGGAACGCCGTAAATGTGCACCGGAATGAAGAAAGCCTCACTCGCTGTGTTCCCTGTCTTCCTATTTGCTCTCTTCCTTAACAAAATGGTCTCCCAAAGTATGGCTCTCTCTCTCTGCAGACTGTGTCAGCTGCAATGCTTCCTGCACCCAAGACTGCTCTCCTTTATTGCAGTATCACACCACCAGCACAAGTATGCCACCATCACCCACTCCAAGAAAACTACAAACCATCATTCATCTCACTGTCACACAACCTCTTCTGATCAGTAGTGCATAAATGAAGGTTTGGTCTGCCACCTTGATAAGGCTAAATACTAAAATAAGAGGCAAGAATGCAAAGGACAATTCAGGCAAAGAACAAATTCCTTTAGTTTGAAGACAGTCTGGCAGACAGTATGTAACAGAAGTGGGGAGATGCAAGAGTTACAAAGATGATCATCCAAAGTGTTCTCAAAGGATAGGTCTAACCCATCTCTGAAATCTCCAATATAGAAAACCATCATTATAGACAAGAGATATTGCCTCCTTTAGGAGTAGATTTTTAATGACATAAAGAGAGTCAACAGGAAAATACGACTCATTTTTACTGAAACTCACTTTATAGCTAATTTTGCTATAACATTTTTCTGCGAAGCCAAGGATAACTGCTGGAAAAAAAAAACAGCTGTATTAATCCATATTTGAGAACATCAGTCTGACTTACCGGAAGTAAATCTGAAACGAAAGTTTTCCTTCTGACTTTTCTTTTACGAGAAATGCCTTCCATTTCATCATCTTCAATCAAATCATCACCATTAGTGTTCTCTAATATTTCCTCAGCCTCTGCTGCAGTTTTCAGCCTTTGCATTTCAGCCTCTTTCATTTGAATAACTGTTTCACCAGTATCCATTTCCAAAACTTCAGCTAAGATCTTTAGTAAGGCATTTATGATTTCTGCTTGACTCTTGCATGGAATAATGTCCTTTAGATTCCAAATTGTGCCTGGGAAAAAGTGAACATAAAAATAAGAATTGCCTGTGAAATATTTTATTAAGTTTTCACGAGACTGAAACTTTCAGGCCAGTGTAATTTCAAAAAAATCTCAGTCTCACTGCCTTTGTTCATTTTCATTAAATATCAATGAGTACCACACTGAGGCAGTGCCCTCAGTCATAACCCTGCACAATCATCTCTCCCTTCCTTGGCACACAGTGCCTTTCTCTGATACTCTCCGTATCAGCAGACCCAGAGAACACTGATCCAGTCTCTTTTAAAATGACAAAGTGGGCTGGGTGCGGTGGCTCATGCCTATAATCCCAGCACTTTGGGAGGCTGAGATGGGAGGATCACAAGGCCAAGAGTTCGAGACCAGCCTGGCCAATATGGTGAAACCCCGTCTCTATAAAAAAAAAAAAAAAAATGACAAACTGAGTAGCATCGCTTTCTTTCATTGCCACCTATGCTGCTCTCCTCAGTAGCTTCTTATATTCCAAGAGTGGAATGGAATATACTAAGATTCCAAGGTCGGACTCATATACAAACAAGAGAGCAGATTATTGGTTTTTTTAAATTCCCAAAATAGAACAGAAGCTATCATTAAGTAGTCAGAGTAATTTTTTTTATGTTACTACAAAAATAAAAACACCTCCTGGCTATAAACCCAAAAGAACTGAAAGCAGGGACTTGACTAGATTACATCCATTTTCAGTAGGTTCGGTGGCTCACCCTGCAATCCCAACACTTCGGGAGGCCAAGGGAGGTGGCTCACCTGGGGTCAAGGGTTCAAGACAAGCCTGGCAAACATGGGGAAACTCTGTCTCTACTAAAAATACAAAAATTAGCCAGGTGTGGCGGTGGGGCGCCTGTAATCTCAGCTACTTGGGAGGTGGAGGCACAAGAAACACTTGACTGGCTGGAGGAGGCTGAGGTTGCAGTGAGCCAAGATCTCTCCACTGCCCTCCTCCAGCCTAGGCAACAGAGAAAAACTCTGTCTCAAAAAAAAAAAAAAAAAAAAAAAGATTACATCCATTTTTACAGCAGTCATATTCACAATAGCCAAGTTTAGAAGCAGCCCAAGTGTCCATAAACAGATGAACAGATCAACAAAATGTGGTATTATACCTACAATGAAATATTATTCAGCATTAAAAAGAAAGCAATTTCTGACATATGCTACAACATGGATGAACCTTAAGGCCATTATGAAAAAAAAAAAAAAAAAGCCAGTTGCAAAGAGACAAATTCTGTATGATTCCACTTCTATGAGGTACTTAGAGTAGTCCAATTCACAGAAGGAATGGTGGCTGACAATAGCTGGGGGAAAGGGAGCAGGAAAAACTGTCTTTCAAGGGTACAGTTTCAGTTTTGCAAGATGAAAAAGAGTTCCCGATTTCTGTTGCACAACAATCTGAATGTACACCATTAAATTACACATTTCAAAACAATTAAAGGCTGGGCGTGTGCTGGCTCACGCCTGTAATCCCAGTGCTTTGGGAGGCCAAGGTGGGCAGATTATAAGAGCTCAGGAGTTTGACACCAGCCTGGGAAACATGGTGAGATGCCATCTCTACAAAAAAAAAAAGAAATTGCTGAGCAGAGGAAAAATTATTAAAACGAAAATTAACTGTGGCTGGGCACAGTGGCTCATGCCTATAATCCTAGCACTTTGGGAGGCTGAGACAGCTGGTCACTTGAGGTCAGGAGTTCAAGAGTAGCCTGGTGAACATTGTGAAACCCCATCTCTACTAAAAATTACAAAAATTAGCGGGTGTGGTGGTGGGTGCCTGGAATGCCAGCTGTTCAGGAGACTGAGGCAGGAGAATTGCGTGAACCCAGGAGTCAGAGATTGCAGTAAACTGAGCTCGCACCACTGCTTTCCAACCTGGGAGACAGAGGGTCTATCTAAAAAAAAAAAAAATTAACTGGGCCTGGTGGTACATATCTCTAGTCCCAGCTACTTGGGAGGCTGAGGTGGGAGGATCACTTGAGCCCAGGAGACGGAGGCTGCAGTGAGCTCAGATCATACCACAGCACTCCAGCCTGGGTGACAGAGGAGGACTCTGTCTCAAAAAAACCAAAATGATCAAGTCAGTAAATTTTATGTGTTTTTTACCATGACTAAAATAAAAAGAAAACAGGCCAGGCATGGTGGCTCATACTGGTAATCCCATCACTTTAGAAGGTCAAGGCGGGCAAATCACCTGAGGTCAGGAGCTTGAGACTAGCCCGGCCAACATGGTAAAACTCTGTTTCTACCAAAAATACAGAAATTAGCTGGGCATGGTGGCACGCACCTGTAATCCCGGCTACTCCAGACGCTAGGCACTTGGGAAGTGGAGACTGGAGACTACAGTGAGCTGAGATCATGTCACTGCACTCCAGCCTGGGTGAAAGAGCCAGACTCCATCTCAAAACAATAAAAAAAAGAAAAAATAAAAAACCCAACAATCTCTCAACATAAATTATCTCTGCTAGGCCAAAGGGCAAGAGGAAAATAGATACAGAAACTAAATAAAGTACATACTAAACAGACCTTCAGATTACTTCTTCCTTCTGTATTCAGGGATTCTGGAGAGAAAAAAGTTGGTGGTAAAAAAAAAAAAAAATGTAGAGAAAACTAAGTGGGCAATTTCTGAAATCACTTGTTCATAAATAGGTGGGGATCCCGACAACAGCATGTCTTTAACAGGTTAACAGTAGTTTGTTAAATTCAAAAAAATCTAGGCTGGGCATGGTGGCTTGCGCCTGTAATCCCAGCACTTTCAGAGGCTGAGGCAGGTGGATCACCTGAGGTTGGGAATTTGAGACCAGCCTGACCAGCATGGAGAAACCTCAACTCTACTAAAAACACAAAAATTGGCCAGGCATAGTGGCACATGTCTGTAATCCCAGCTACTGAGGAGGCTGAGGAAGGAGAATTGCTTGAACCCAGGAGGTGGAGGTTGTGGTGAGCCGAGATGGCACCATTGCACTCCAGCCTGGGTGACGAGAGAGAAACTTTGTCTCAAAAAATATATAAATATATATTCTACAAGGCTTTACAACTATAGACAACTGCTTGAAGTAAGGGTCTCTTCTTAAATACTAAAACTGTCAGAACAGATAAAAGCACACAAGGCCTGAGCTGTTGAAATGAATGATTATTACACTTTGGCTCCCACCTCTATCCATACTGAAAGCTACTAAAACGATATACTATGTATTTCATAAGGCTAAATATTACCTGCCACCAATGTCTTCAATAGAAGGGATTCCATGGAACTGACAGGAGAAAGCAGTACTGATTCCAGCACGTGCAATGCCGTAGCACTGAAAGACTTCAGCAGCTCTGGGTTATCCTCAGTCACTGTCTGCAAACAGTATGCTATAAGGCAAAAAATAAGTATTTAGAAACAAATCAATTCTGCTTAGGGTAATTTACACCAGTATAATTCATCAATAAAATCTGCATTGCTATCACTTCATTAGACACATGTAGCTTTTGCAGAATATATATGCTTTAACACAGGATGACATATGCAAATGAGGCTTCCCAAACTATCAGTGCTGGAAAAGATCATGTTTCTTTTCTTTTTAAATTTCTAATCCTGTACAGATCTATACTTTTTTTTTTTTTTTTTTGACACACTCTTGCTCTGTCACCCAGGCTGGAGTGCAGTGATGCATCTAAGTGGTCTCAAGTGAGCTGTCTGCTTCGGCTTCTCAAAGTGCTGTGATTATAGATGTGAGCCACCACGCCCAGCCAGATCTACACTTTTTATAAAACACAATTTAATAGGCTCTTAAATGTCATGGCAATGTTGTTATTATAAATATTTACAAAAGTTTGTCCTCAGACAGGCATGGTGGCTCATGCCTGTAATCCCAGCACTTTGGGAGGCCGAGGTGGGAGGATCACTTGAGGTCAAGAGTTCCAGATCAGCCTGGCCAACTGGCAAAACCTCACTTCTACTAAAAATACAAAAATTAGCTAGGCATGGTGATGCACACCTGTAATTCTAGCTATTTGGGAGGCGAGAGGATAGCTTGAACCCAGGAGGCGGAGGTTGCAGTGAGTTGAGATTGCGCCACTGCACTCAAGCCTGGGCGACAGAGCTGAGACTGTCTCAAAAAAAAAAGTTTACACTCAATTTATGCACTTATCAAGGACCAGTAGCAAATGGCCATGGGCCATACTCTTATAGTAGTTCTGTTGTCGATAACAGGTCCTAGGTTTTGGGATGCTCTGGCTTCCTTTAAATTTATCATGACCTTCAAAGTTAGGGTTATTTCTGGCGGAGCAATAGTTCTTTAAGAAAAAAAGTAGTTTTATATAAAAGTATGAGCGAATTAAGAGATGTGTAAAATATCAAATCATGCCCATCCAAATTACTCAAAATGCATGCTACTGCTGTGATAGACAACACATTTATACAGAAATCCACATATATGCATTTCTGTATATATATCCAAATGTAGTATCTTTGTCATTAAGAGACCAATTAAATTTACTGTACAGGTTAAAAAAAAGTTATATGGATACATGGGATGGAATCTTATGAGGTCATTTTTCTATATGTAAGCCTTGCTTGACTTCAGAAGCAGAAGTAGTATTTTAAAAATCATTAATCTAGCTACATGCAGAAGGAAAACACTATTATACATGCAAAACTACTTTATTTGGATCCGTTTCAAGAAAGCTCATTGGGGGAAAAAAACTAAAAACAGAAGTAAGTCCAGATTAAAGGCTCAAAAATGGAAATGGCTTTTCTTTTAAAAGATATGAACTAACTTTCCTGAAATTCTCTTATCATAACAAAAACTGTCCTCTGAGATTAAATCACCTATCAATTTCCTAAAAACAGCGGAATTGTTTTTAAAATCCCCATTTACTCACAACTCCCAGCCCCGCCAAGACTCCATTTGAAGAAACGATTTTTAAAATTTTCTCAGTAATACTTATTCCACTATTTTCCCCCATTTCTGTTCTCTTAAAAATATCCATTAGAGCCAAGAGAAACAGCAGTCAGGAAAATACAATTCTTCCTTGCCAGGAGAAACGCAGTTCCATAAGGGGACAGCTAGATGCCTGCTCTAACGATGGGTAGAAAAGCAATGCTCTTCCTCAATTGTTTCTCCGCTCCCACCCAGAATTCTGCTGAGCTGCCCATGCTCTGGTTTCTGCCTCCTGCCACTGAGCTGAGGGTCGCCAGTGGCTCTCCAGCCCAATAAAGAGAAGGCAATGCAGCCGAGGCCACTGAAGTTGCTGGACTTTGCCTTCCCTGTCTCATGGAAGGCATGCAGGCCTAAGTGGAATTTCGATCACTTCTTTTCCTCTCTCTCTCAACAAACTCAGGCCGTCAGTTTTCTGCTGGAAGTATGAGATAGTAGCATTAATACATTTGAGTAAGTTTAGATTCCAATTAATTGGCTTAAAGCCCTGGTAGTTGTGGGTTACTGTTTCTTAGTAAATGGAGTAGAAAACTTCAAGAATTAATAAAGGCTGCTAAGAATGGGAACAGTCTAGAAACCACATATCCTCACATAATTACCTTTCTCCCTTTCAGAGCCAAAAGCAGAAAAATTGAATGCGTAGATAAATAATATTAATTACAGATTTAGGAAGACCCAGAAAAAACAGGTGCTCAGCTACACATTCACGTACAAAGAGAAAAAAAATTGCTCCTGTAGAATAAACACGCTAAAGCTACGCAAAAATATTTGAATAAGGCTACACATACTTAACGCGTCATCATCTTTTCTTCACTTACCTACTGAAATAGCCAGGTCAACACTGGTGGGAAACCTACTTAAATACTTTAACACAATCTCCAAACACCCTTCTTTGTTGAATATAGACACTGCTCTACTACTGCATTCACTAAATTGAAGGGGGAAAAAAAAGTTTTACTATTCACATTTTAACAGTAGGAAATCAACCACAGCAATCTATAAAAACACAAATTAGGCCTTATAAACTCAGGAGTTGGTATTAAACACACACCATTTTTATTAATAAAGGAACTAACGCCCATTCATATTCACTGTACATGAGAACTGGCTATCTATATTTTATTTCTATCACAGTGGAACCTTTTAATCAACCTCTTTGCCATGATGAGTTTCCTTATAGAAGGTTAGAGCTGGAAGAGATCTTGTAGATCATTTAATTCAACTCCCCATTTTATAAATGTGAAGATCCAGGCCCTAAGCGGTGAAGCAGCCCATCAAAGAGCACACACTTGTTAGTGTAGAGCCAGGCCCAGCTCCTAGTTTCCCTGGGTCCAGCCTACTGTTTTTTCTTTCTTCTATACCACAATGATAACAAGTTAAAGAAGGATAAAAGGCCTCTATATTCATCACACAAAAACACAAATTTATTTTTTAACCTACTATACTTTAGAACATCAACAAAAACACAAATTTAAAGAAAAATAAAATTTCATTTTATTCAAGCCTTTTAGAGTGCAATTATAATTTCATCAAGCAGGATTTACAGTCTGCAACAGAGAAGTTATAAGTAACTATTTTTTAAATTGTACCTTTTAATAAAAGACTCACACAGCTATCAGTGTTATGAGTAAGCATACATACTAAACACAGAATAAACCAGGCTAATTATAATAATTGTATCCATGTTTCTGGAGGTAATATCCATGTTTTAAGTTCCCTCCATACATACAACATACACCCATGACATGTTAACAGCTAACAGAGCTGACTAAATTAATAAAGTAAATCTGTTATGTAATGAAAAATATTTCATACTTCTACCTACCTACTGATGGCAGCATGAAGGAGCCCACAGTATAGTCAGGAAGACAAGCACACATATGTCAAGATAATTTGAAATGTAAATTATGAAACAAAAATGTTAAAAGCTATAGTAACTAAATGAAACCGACAGGGCTCATAGGCATTCAGAAAAGAGAAATCACCTTGGAGACAGATTTAGACTCTTTTCAAATAAATTTTTTTTTTTCCATTTCCGAATGCCAACAATTTCTACAACTTAAAGTTATGTGGTATACAGAAAAACAGCACCCATCAGTTTTTGCTTGAATGCTGTTTCCTCAGATCTGATCTCTCCAATTTTTCTGGTGGAATGCATTCATTAAAATGAAATCACAGGGCCGGTGCAGTGGCTCAGGCCTGTAATCCCAGCACTTTGGGAGGCCGAGGCAGGTGGATTACGAGGTCAAGAGATCAAGACCATCCTGGCCAAACATGGTGAAACCCTGTCTCTACTAAAAAAAATACAAAAACTAGCTGCGCGTGGTAGCGTGCGCCTGTAGTCCCAGCTGCTTGGGAGGCTGAGGCAGAAGAATTGCTTGAACCCAGGAGGCGGAGGTTGTAGTGAGCCGAGATCCCGCCACTGCACTCCAGCCTGGCGCCTGGCAGCAAGGCAAGACTCTGTCTCAAAAAAAAAAGGATTAAATCACAGTCAAGGTCAGACTGCTATGTAAGCATTTCAGGATCCAACTTAATCTTGTATTCTAAGAAACATCTGTGCTTTTAGGTCAGCCACTATAATTACTGCTGACTGAAGATAAGGAACTGTGACAGAATCTTGCTAGAAATGTGGGACATAAAATGGGGCAGAAAAAAGTAACTCCAGGTTGTGCTTCTAGCCATTGCCATTCCTAGCAGTGAGTCCACTCCACCTTCACCACTGCTACAGCAGCCACAGAATGGAGAGTGGCCTTCTGCCTCCTGGTGCCAAAGAAGCTCTTCTTAGGCATCCACATCCCACTCAGACGGTAACTGCCAGGGAAGAGGAAGAAAAGCACCAGCAGAGGTCTGTGGTCCCTATCACAGTCTAGAGGCCAAACCGAAGATGCATCTGCACCTGGGCCTGCCCAGCTTAAAGACAAATGCTACTTAGGGTGTATAGGAAGTTGGGGAAAGGAGGAGCCACAGGTGCTAATGGTCATGATGCCTCCTATTTTTGTGAGGTGCAATGACTGGAGAGGAAATCCATAAAACAAAAGATGTAGTGGGGCAAGGAGGAAAGGGATTGGGAAGGAGGGTTGACTTTAGGTCACCTGATCCTACCTTTTACCAAATCTTTATTTTTGAGATGGAGTCTTGCTCTGTCGCCCAGGCTGGAATGCAGTGGCACGATCTTGTCTCACTGCAACCTCCACCTCCCAGGTTCGCGATGCTCTTGCCTCAGCCTCGCAAGTAGCTGGGATTACAGGCACGCACCACCACACCCGGCTAATTATTTTATATTTTGGTAGAGATGGGGTTTCATCACGTTTGCAAGGCTGGTCTCAAACTCCTGACCTCAAGTGATCCACCTGCCTCGGCCTCCCAAAGTGTTGGGATTACAGGCGTAAGCCACCACGTCCAGCCCCTACCAAGTCTTAACATCTGGATTAATAGGTCTACCAAAGGGAACAGAGATTCCTATGCATTGTAATAGATAGAACAGAAGCCTGGGTACTGCTAGAGCAGGAGGCTGCGTTTGGAAGGCATCTTACCATATATTCCACAGCACATTCACAGCCTCATTGGCTATATTCTCAATAGAATTTCTCTTCTGATCTTTTTTCTCCTGTGGAGACATCTCATTTGAATCCAGTCCAGCACTACACTGTAAGCAAATATCATGATTAGCACCCTGGTTCCAAAGAATTAAACAAAAAGGCAGGACATCAGAAATGACTGCGGCTAACAAGCCAACTGAATCCTCACAAGAATGGTACAAAATCAATACAGTGTTTTACCTAATAACTGTGACAAAAGACAGGAAAGAGGGCAATGAAAGATGAAATAAGAGCTTCTACATAGCGCCTTCTGTTTTGTCTTCGTTTTTTATTACATAGTGCCTTCTAAAGTACTATTCTAAGCATTTTACATGTATCGTCATTTAATCCTCACAATAAATCTATGAGGTAGGTGAACTATTATTATGCCCAATCTCCACCTGCAAATGGGAAAGTGAGGTACAGGGAGGCTGCTGAAGGTGTAGCTTAGCATGTGGTGAAGCTGGGATTCAGATCCCTGCATTTGGCTCCAAAGCTAGTGTGCTTAAGTCCCTCCAGTACAGCCCAGGAGACCCTCTAAAGCAGGGCTTTTAATCCAGGTGCTACTGAAATTCTCCACCAGAAAATCCTTTGCTGGGGAAGGAAGGGCTATCATATGCATTTGGGGATGTGTAGCAGCATCCCTGGCCTCTACCCACTGGATGCCAATAGCAATCTTTACCCCACAAGCTCTGTAACAACCAGTGATGTCTCCAGACATTGCCAGTTGTGCCCTGGGAAGCAAGATCATACCCAGTTAAGAATGACTGCTCTAAAAAGACCGATGACTCTCAGCAAAACTGGATATCCTTTATGTAGCCTTAAGTGAAAATTATCCATCAACACAGAATAGTGGCTTAGAGGCACTCCAGATAGAGAGCTCTTTAACCTCTTAACTATGTCATGCAATAAGACTGGAATGAGATCAAACATGAGAACTTACTGTAATCTTCGCAACAAGTTCCTAATGTCTGTGCCTCGGCTTCGTCATCTGTAAAATGGGAATAATACCTGCCTCATAGGATACTGTGAGGATTAAATTATATAATATCCGAAATGTGAAAACAATACCCGGCACATAAATAACTAACAACTAAATACTATTTATTTTTATTGTAACAAGTTTAACAACTAAAGGAGTGAGTCTGTACAGTTTTAGGAAGGTCTTTCCTAACTGTCATAAAAATAAAGGTACAAAATAGAGATTGGTGTCAATAATGAGAGTAGATCGGTGTTTCCAGGAAAAGGAATTAAATTTCCATACAATGTTTAGGTAGAAGACAAAGTCACTAACGTCAAAGTACTAAAAAAAGTCTAAGTTTGCATCCCAAAAGCTACCATCGAGTTACTGTAAAAACTGCATACCTCTTTTAGCAGCGCAACCAGAGGGGTCATGATATCCTTAGTCACCATGTCATCACAAACTTCAAAACCTCCACAAGCACTGAGATTTCTACACAAGAAGTTTAAAACATGTTTTACTTTCACATCACATGTCACAAAACACTTCTACACTCTCAAATTATATCTATTTTTAGCCATATTTAAGTTTTCCCAGAGGAAAGAGCTTACTGTTTCTGTCATATGCTGCAGAACCAATCCAGAGATTTCCACCTGTTCTGATCCTTGTTCTACAAGATGTAAACAGATGACTCTGTCATATAACAACTTAGTTCTGAGGTCTGAGACAGTATACAGGTACATAGCTACAAGAAGGGGAGAAGGGAGACTTTTCCCACATGAATAAATCATGTACGAAGGGATCTGTTCTTGAAATTAAGACTACAAGGGCAGGGATAGGTGCTGTGGCTCACACCTGTAATCCCAGCACTTTGGGAGGCTGAGGTGGAGGATCACTCAAGCTCTGGAGTTCAAGACCCGCCTGGGCAACATAGAAAGACCCCATTTCTACAAAAAAAAAAAAAAAAAAGAAAGCAAACTGCAAGGGCAGCAAGGTGGGGCTCAGGTGAATGACACCTCCTAAAGTAGCCCTGGCTAAATTCTAATTGGAAAGATATGAGCCTTCCCAGTGCACAGCACTGTATTAGGCCCTAAGGATATGGATAGTCACAATCCTCCAGGATCCCCTAGCCTGTGTATGCTGTGGGAGGAAGGGAAGGGCTTTCCACATGCTGTTTCCTTCCTAGGGGAAGTAGGGCATCTATTTCCCCCATTCATCCTTCAGAGCTGACCTCAAGCATCACTCACTCAAGAGTCTTCTTCCCTGAACCGGTTTGTACCCTCTTGCAGCACCCTTTGTCATTGCCATTCGTTGCAATTATACAGTTATCTAATTGTTTGGTTAATGCCGGTCTCCCTCAATAGACTTTAAGATTTCTTAAAGAGAGACACTACCTTGCCCATTACCCCATGACCACAGCCTAGCTCACTGGCACACAGTAGGCACTTGACACATATTGGCTAAATCAGTGAATGAAACATAAATCACAAGTAGAGACAGAGCTGTAAGAACTGCCAAGTATTAACTTCTGCTCTTGCCCCCTCTGCAGTCCATTCTCTGCACAGCCACCACAGTGGCCTTCTGAAAAGGTGAGTTATATATAATATGCCACTTTCCGGCTTAGAGTAAGTAAGTCCTCAGCCCTACACCATCCTACAGATCATCCCTCTCTCAGGCCTCACCTTTTTAATTACTCACCCCTGCTCTTCTCAGGCACCTACCCTCTCTGCTCTTCAATCATGCCAAACCACCTGCTGCTTCGCTTCTTTGCTGCTGCTGTTCCCTTTTTGGGTAATGCTCTTCCCCCTATTTTTCCACGTCTCCTAGCTCTCTCACCCTGCAGATCTCAGTTCACAAGTCATCTAAAAAGCACCTTTTTTTTTCTTTCTTTTTTTTTTTAAAGAGACAGGGTCTTGCTCTGTCACCCAGGCTGGAGAGCAGTGGTGTGATTACGGCTTACTGCAGCCTCAAACTCCTGGGCTCAAGCAATTCTCCCACCTTAGCCTCCTGAGTAGCTGGGGTTACAGACACCCACCACCATGCCTAATTGTTTAAAAATTTTTCTACAGACGGGGTCTTGCTATGTTGCCCAAGCTGGCCTTGGACTCCTGGCCTCCAGTGATCCTCCTTCCATGGCCTCCCAAAGCAATGGGATTACAGGTGTGAGCTACCACGCCAGGCTCAAGAGCACCCAATTCAAACTTCCACCCCCAACTCATCATCTCGTTTTCCCACAGCAATTCTCACTATTTAACATCATGTGTTACCTTTTTACTAGCTTCCTGTCTGCCCCCCATCAACACGACTTGTGCCAAGACAGGGATCTTGGCTGTCTCGCTCAACAGTCTTGGCTGCATAAAATCCCCTGCATCTAGAACAATTTCTGACACATGAACTGAAAATTTCATCCAAGCAAGGGACCCTATGGAGGGCTTTTGGAACCAGTAAAACGTGCACCAGGCGTGAAGGCAGAACGCCTGAGCAGGTGGACGCTGCAGATGAAGCAGCCAGGTAGACAGACAGATGAGATGCCTGTGGTCCGGGGATACTGGCGTTCTCCGGAGCCTGGAGAGTGGGTTCAATCTCTGCAAACAGATCGCACCAGTGCCTCTCACACAGAAAGCGCTGGCTGACCGCTGCGACTGCCTGGAGCCCAGGCGCGTGGGAGACTAGCGGTGGCACCGCCCCAGACCCTTTCCCGGCTCACCTCAGCGCGCCGGCTGCAGTCTCTCTGACCGCCAGGCTGGGGTCCAGCAGCAGCGGCCCGAGGCGGCGCACCGCGTCTCGACGCGCCAGGCCAGGGAGCGCGGGCCGCTGCTGCACCAGCCGGGCCAGTCCCGCGCAGGCGCACTCGCGGACCTCGGCGCTCGGGTGTTGGAGCTGTGGACAGCAAGAACCATCAGAAGGCACGCAGAGCGCAGTGCGCACGCGCGCGGGACAGCCTCACCTCGACACCCGGCTCTGCGAAGCCCCCGCCTCACTTTTTCCAGCAGTTCCACCGCCGGCCCGTCGTCATCCTCGCCTCCGGTCCCATTCACCGCCGCAGCAGCATCGGCCTGACAGTCGCCCGTAGGGGAGAACTGAGGTCGCTTGAAGCGCTTCGTCCGGCTCTTGCCCATGGCGACGTGCACTGTGCGGACCACCGAGAGAGGAGGGCAGCAGCAGGTGATGGAGGCTACCGCGCTGGTGACAAGGTCCGTTGCCAAAGGACTTTCCCACTGCTGCTCAGCTGGGCCGGCTGACGGCTGGAGAACACATGGGGAACCAGTGCGCAGGCGCGCGGCGCGTCGACAGCGGGGCGAAGGCAGGCGCGCGGAGCGCGCAAGCGTGGAAGAGGATGTGGGCGGGGCCAGCTTCGGCAAAGGGGCGGAGTCTTGTGGGTAATATCAGGAAGTAGGAGGCTGGACTAGAATAGTAACGCTGACTCAGGCGAGAGTATCACCTGAGGCCAGAAGTTCGAGACCATCCTCGGCAACATAGGAAAACACTCCAGCCCTCCGGCCCCGCTCCCCCCAAAATTAAAAATTAGCTGAGTATAGTGGCTTGTGTGTGTAGTCCCAACTACTTGGGAGGTTGAAATAGGGGGATCACTTGGGCCCAGGAGTTTGAGGCTGCAGTGAGCCTTGATCCTGCCACTGCACTCCAGCCTGGGTGACAGAGTGAGACCCTGTCTCAATCAATCAATCAATCACACTATAAATAAATATAATTAAGGATACCATTCAGTGAGGATGTATGTTTGAAAAGTAAAATATTTTTTTTTTTATAAAAAGGATACCTGACTTGCAAGGTTATTGTAAGGTACACATAAAGTTCTATGAAGTGCCAGACACCAAGCCTGACATATAGTAGGTACACAAAAAAGTATTAACCGTGATTTTGTCTCCCCAGCACCTCCCATAGCTCCTGTCATAGATCGAGACCACTTAATGTTTTGGAACGAATGTATGTCTATATTTGATAAAGCAGAATCGCTTAAGAAGTTAATCTACCTGCCTTAGGTTCCTCATCGGTGAGGTAGGGACATCAATAGCATATACCTTATGGAGTTGTTATGAAGACCAAATGTGTTAATCTATTTAAGGTGCTAAGAACAAAGACCGGCAGATAATAAGCACTATGTAAATGTTTGGAAACTTTTGTTTAACAAAGAGATTCTTTTGCAAATATTTGTTGAGTACTAGGTACAGCGCTGGGCATTGGAATAAAACAATAATCAAGGCAGTTTGGTTTCTGTCCTGTCTTCCTGTCCTTATGGAGTTTACCGTCCAGGGAGAGATCTGTTGAATATATAATTATATTAATAACTTTGGTTATAATTGTGGTAAATACTAAGCAGAGGAAAAAGAACAGAAGAATCTCAGGTAGTCTTTATAATTACACATGTAATTAGTGAGTACTCAGTATACCCATAGCTTTGGGTCAACTTTCCGTTTTTCTTTTTTTTGAGATAGAGTCTTGCTCTGTTGTCCAGGCTGGAGTGCAATGGTGCAATCTTGGCTTACTGCAACTTCTGCCTTGGAGCCACTAAATATATGTTGGTGGGTTTTACTTACTGTATATCTTATCGGGCCATTGATTTGCCTGCCACCTACCTAGTCTAGGCCACCGATTTGTTTGTTTTGTCTTGTTTTTTGAGATGGAGTCTCTCTCTTATTGCCCAGGCTGGAGTGCAATGGCACCATCTCAGCTCACTGAAACCTCCGCCTCTCGGGTTCAAGCGATATTCTTGCCTCAGCCTCCTGAGTAGCTGGAATTACAGGTGCCTGCCACCATGCCCAGCTAAGTTTTGTATTTTTAGTAGAGACAGGGTTTCACCATGTTGCCCAGTTGGTCTTGAACTCCTGACCTCAGGTAATCCACCCGTCTTGGCCTCCCAAAGTGTTGGGATTACAGGTGTGATTTACCATACCCACCCCAGGCTACTGTCTTTTATCTTGAGCATGTGGCTTTCTGGTCTCTTCATTTCCACCTTGCTCATCCCCCATCTATTAGGCAGCTACAGTTATCTCAAAATATTCCTCCACCTTTCTCTTTATATTGTATTCACTTCCTTGCTTAAAACTTTTCAGTGACTGCCAGGCGTGGTGGCTCAGCGAATGGATCACTGAGGTCATGAGTTTGAGAGCAGTCTGGCCAGCATGGCAAAATCCCATCTCCACTAAAAATATAAAAAATAGCTGGGAGGTGCCACGGGCCTGTAACCCCATCTACTTGGGTGGCTGAGGCAGGAGAATCACTTGAACCCGGGAGGCTGAGGTTGCAATGAGCTGAGATCATGCCATGGCTCTCCAGCCTGGGTGACAGAGTAAAGACTGTGTCTCAACAAAACAAAAACTTTTCAGCGGCTTCCCTTTCTCTTAGGATAAAGATAAAAATCTTAGCATGGCTGCAGGGTTTCACCCCAGCCTCTAGCCTCACCTTTTCATTCTGCTCTTTTAGCCAATGTCTATGGGGTCTCAGGGCTTTGCACAAACCCCAGCCCCTACCCTATGAATCAGTGAACACAGTCTTCATAGGCAGGGACAGGGACTTCGTAGTCAAGGACAGGTCTCCCCTGAAACAGCATGAACCTGTTTCTTTGCTTCAAAGCACAGATCAAAATTACAGTTGTAATTTTCAATTTCTTTGTGAACAGTTATTCAATTGCCTCTCTCCCCAGCTGAACACCAACACCTGTAAAGACAAGACAGTACCCACTTTCATATATCACTGTGTCCCCAGCACTAGCCTAGAGCCTGGCACAAGATAGACATGCAATTTATTGAATGAATGGAGAGACCACATAGTCAGGAGAGAGCAGGGCATGCAATCTAGATGGAATAAGATGATGAGAATTTAGATGAGATAGAAACAGATTCCTCCTGTTTCACTGTGGATATGAGCAAGAAAAAAGTGGTTCAAAACCCAGGCCAGGTGTCGTGGCTCATGCTTGTAATCCCACCACTTTGGGAGGCCAAGGCGGGCAGATCACCTGAGGTTAGGGGTCCAGACCAGCCTGGCCGACATGGTGAAACCCTGTCTCTACTAAAAAGACAAACATTAGCCAGTCATGGTGGTACATTCCTGTAGTCCCAGCTACTTGGGAGGCTGAGGCAGGAGAATTGCTTGAACTCAGGAGGTGGAGATTGCAGGGAGCTGAGATCATGCCACCACACTCCAGCCTGGGCTACAGAACAAGACTCTGTCTCAAACAAACAAACAAACAAACAAAAGACACCTTAACTAGATGAGGACAGAAGAATTCTAGGGCAGTGAAAATACTCTGTATGATGTAATAATGGTGGATACATGCGATTATACATTTTTCCAAATGCACAGAATGTGTAACGCTGAGACTGAACCCTAACGTAAACTATGGATTTGGGGTGATAATGGCATGTCAACATAGGTTCATCAGTTGTAACAAATGCATCGCTGTGGTGGAAGATGTCATCATGGGAGAGGCTGTGCATATGTGGGGCTGGGAGTATGTGGGAAATCTCTGTACTCCCCTCTCAATTTTTCCATGAACCTGAAACTGCTTTAAAAAATAAAGCCAGGCTCAGTGGCTCAAGCCTGTAATCACAGCAGTTTGGGAGGCCATGGCAGTTGGATTGCTTGAGCTCAGGATTTCGAGACCAGGGTGGGCAGCATAGTGAGACCCCATCTCTACAAAAAAATTAAAAAATTATCAGGGTGTGTGCCTGTAGTCCCAGTTGGGAGAATGAGGTGGTAGGATCGCTAGAGTGTGGGAGGTGGAGGCTTCAGTGACGTGAGAGAACGCCACTGCACTCCATCCTGGGTGACAGGGTGAGACCTTGTCTCAAAAAAATAAAGTCTTTAAAAAACAAATGTAAATATAAATGCCATAGCTGGAGCAGAACTTTGTGGTCTGTTATCATTAGTTACTCTTTCCAGTGATAAATTACCATTGCTGCTAAAATGAATGATTAGCTTTATTTAATGAGCTTAAGAGCCCTTCTGGGAGCCTCCCTCACTCTACTGTCAGTCTTGGAAGGAGCCCAGTGATCTTTAACCAGTCTAATCTTCCTTCACCAGTCATTTTTTAAAATCCAGTGAAGCAATGATTATCTAACCATCCCTTTTTCCGGCAAATTATCTTTGTCAAGAGGGAATTTTTGAATTAGACTGCTTAGAGGCCTCTTCCCTTGAGACAAGTTGGAAATAAGCTTGTCATCAGTTATTGGTCTGACAAATTTTTTTAAAAATTAGGAGTTAGGCTGGGTGCAGTGGCTCACCTGTATTCCCAGAACTTTAGGAGGCCAAGATGGGAGGATCACCTGACTACAGGAGTTCAAGACCTGTGGACAACATCAAGAGACACTATTCCCAGAACTTTAGGAGGCCAAGATGGGAGGATCACCTGACTACAGAAGTTCGAGACCTGTGGACAACATCAAGAGACACTATTCCCAGAACTTTAGGAGGCCAAGATGGGAGGATCACCTGACTACAGGAGTTCGAGACCTGTGGACAACATCAAGAGACACTATTCCCAGAACTTTAGGAGGCCAAGATGGGAGGATCACCTGACTACAGGAGTTCGAGACCTGTGGACAACATCAAGAGACACTATTCCCAGAACTTTAGGAGGCCAAGATGGGAGGATCACCTGACTACAGAAGTTCGAGACCTGTGGACAACATCAAGAGACCCTATCTCTACAAAACATTTAGAAATTAGCCAAGCACATATATATATACATAAAAGAGAGATCACTACTATAAAAAGAAAAAAGAAAAGAAATTAGCCAAGCACAGTGGTGTTTTCCTGTATTCCCAGCTACTTAGGAGACTAAGGTGGGAAGATCGCTTGAGCCCAGGATTTCAAGACTGCAGTGAGCTATGATTGCACCACTACACCCAGCCTGGGCCATAAAGTGAGACCCTGACTGAAAAAAGAAAAAAAAAAGAGCTGCTCTGCTAGACTCCTGTTTTTCCCCCTTCTAATTTTTGTGATGTAATCTTCCTACAGTACACTCAGATCAATATTTTCTAGAACATTTAGACAAGTCACATGCTCTTATACAGTCGGGTTCAGCCTTTTACATAACATACATGATATGGCCACAGCACTCTGCCATGTGCCTCCAACACCACATCTCCAGCCCTGGGAGCCTCCTCAGTCTTCCCAGAAACTCCGTGGGGCTTTGCTGTCCTTAGGCCTGGAGGGCTGTAGAGCTGGGCATGCTTCCACAGCACATGCTGGTGTTAATCATCACCATTCTCCTGGTATACACGGTCTCGGATGCACTTACAGTTCCTGTGAGCTTTAAGGACTCATCGTGGGAAGAATGAGAAATACAAACCCGAAA